GAAGTGTAGTCATGTGCTGTATATAAGTGTGTAGTAAATCCAGTGACCAATCTAAACCACGTTTATAGTCACTAAAAACGTGACAACTGGTCAGAAGTGGAATTGAATGGAGTTGTTGGATTGGAGACCGCAGGAGACAGGTATGCTGGCCGAGGTGAGGGCTGAAATAGGAACCAGAGTAGAAATGATGGGCTAGCGGAAAAATGTGTAAACAACGGAAGGCAGAACAGAGACGGACCAGGAGCTATGGGGTATGCCCTCATCTGTGCGCCCATGTGCCCCCGTGGTGATGGGTAGTTCCCCGTATTCGTGTGTAGCTGTTCTTAACGGAAGGAACCACAGCGGGTTTCGTCAGCAATTTTTATCACACCTGAAGATGACCAATATTGGCCGAAAGGTGTAGTGATGTAGAAGTTTCGGAAAGTGGCGGGGAACTAGCAAGTAATGCTGCAACACAGTCTCCCCCTCCCCTCCCCTCCCCTCTCTCGCCCTGAATTGAAGTTTGCGTCTCATGCTAAGTGACTGGGTATCGACGTGCCTGATGATGGATAAAGGAAAGATCTCTGAATTATTTCTTAGTAATGGCGTAGAGGGGAGCGGGGAATGTGAACAAGATTGATTGATGATGGGGAAGTTACGAAGCGTGTTCCAACCGACAGCTTCACCTGATGAGGTGCTGTGCCGGCGTTTGCAAGAAGGGACTGAGGAAAACCTCAGGATGGCCGGTCCGGCTCGTGCGCGGTGTAGATGGACAGCGGCTGCGCAGTGGGTCACACATCTGGTTCATTGTAGATGTATAAAAAGCTTAAGTAATGTCTCTCTAACTCTCTTTCGGTCTGTTATTTATCGGCATGGATAGCTCAGTCGGTATAGTGACCGTCTACAGGCTGGACTGCCGAGGTGTCGGAGTTCGAGTCCCGGTGGTGTCAAGCTTTTTCTCCTCTCCATGTCGTGCATACCTGTTCTGAGGCCCAATCCCCACCCATTGGGGAACGGGGGTAAAGCAGCTTGAGCGTGAAACTGATCACTCAACTTCAACTAGTACCGAAGTCAAGAATAAGTGGATCTATACATCTGTTCCCCCATGCGATTTTATGGCGTAGTGCTTAATTAATTCCTACCCATTGGGGAACGGGGTAAAGTAGCTGGTGCGTGAAACTGATCACTCAAGTTCAGTTAGTGCCGATGTCAAGAATAAGTGGATCTGTACATACATTTGCCGGTCACGGTAGCCGAGCGGTCTAAGGCATGTACTGTCTTAGCTCGCTTGAAAACCGGGATCGTGGGTTCGAATCCCACTCAGGGCATGGATATTTACCGTATTTACGCATGTATAGGCCGCAGCACAATTTTCAGACAAATTATAGAAAAAATAATTTTCTTGGAATATTATTTCAGGAGTATTACACTCTGTATTACTAATTATGAATATAATTTTTTTTAAATGAAGTGTGATTTCGAATATTTCGAATATAAGCAGCACCCCAGTTTTCCTCTTGAATTTTTGGCAAAAAATGTGCGGCCTATACATGCGTAAATAAGGTAGTTTGTGTGTGTGCGTTTTTCTGTGTTTGTGTACAGGTAGAGGCCTTGCGACGAGCTGATCACCCGCCCAAGGAGTCCTACCGAATGTGTAAGATCTAGAAAAACCGAAGTGAAGTTCATGGAGGTAGGCCTAGGCCCACTGGGGCTGTAGTGCCAAGGGGGAAAAAGAAATACATCTATACGTTTGATTGCCTAATGCTTAATTAAGTACAGGAACGACTTTACCTTGTTTGTGGAAGTATTTATACGTATAGTGTCGAGACTACATAGCATCGGTGAGTAGGGTTTTAGATGGAGGATGAATTGGAAGGAATTCGGAAGGAATGGGTCCGGGCCTAATATAGGTACTGTGCCGCCGTTTCTTGGGGGACTGAGGAAAAGCACAAAAATGGACGAGAATAGCCAGTCTCATAGTCAGGATTGATCTTCTGTCTTCTGGGATATAATGTCGTATAGTCCGTTGAAAGTCAACGGACGTTTCGGAGGATTATGTCGCGTCCGTCGTCAGTGTCGGGGAATAAGTCGTGAAGGAAATCGGCGTGAAAGCGGGTGGCAGACAGACATTGTCATCCGAAACGTCGGTTGACTTTCAACGGACTGCACAGCCTTATATCCCAGAAGACACGCCTCTTCATAATCACCGCTGTGAGAACCTCAAATCCTACAAAAGGTCTGAATCTTGATCTCCAGGAATGTAACCATGTACTCCCCGTATGTTATAATGAAGGACGCGTTTTCAGGAGTGCGTGGAGTCGCAAATCAGAGGCAACGTTATGCTTGTAGTGCAAGCGCGCACACAGAACACATTGCTGAATTATGTTTTGCTGTCGTTTATTGGCCCGGAGCAGTTTGAAAGTGTTGTCAGGCCGACTTTTCCCATTTCATCATTTAGACACGACATATTTTATTCCCTGTATTATTGACATCTGGACTCAGTCTCTACCTGTCGCTTCTTTTTAATGTCTGTGAGTGCACCATTGGTAATCACCGGACGCAACGCAACACTGTAACAGACATAAGTGTAATTCAGTGTGTCTTTGGGTGGCATGAGTAATAACTAATACGTGCCACCTAGTTTAGCAATAAAGAGCTCTGTATTTAGCTAGCTCAGGGGATAACTTTTGGTGGAACGTTCCATACGAGTCTCACAATAAACAGGGACTGTTTCCCCAAACAGCATTAACCACTTGGGCTTTGTAGCCGAGACGTAATGTGTGTCCTGTGAGCTACGGACTGAATTCTTATATATTATTTGGAAATGTATCTGTGTGTTCTGTATGGTTCTCACAATAAACAGCGACTGTTTCCCCGAACAGCATTAACCGGTTGGGCTTTGTAGCCGAGACGTAATGTGTGTCCTGTGAGGTACGGACTGAATTCTTATATATAATTTGGAAGTGTATTGTGTGTTCTGTATGGTTCTCACAATAAACAGCGACTGTTTCCCCGAACAGCATTAACCGGTTGGGCTTTGTAGCCGAGACGTAATGTGTGTCCTGTGAGGTACGGACTGAATTCTTATATATTATATGGAAATGTATTTGTGTGTTCCGTATGGTTCTCACAATAAACAGCGACTGTTTCCCCGAACAGCATTAACCGGTTGGGTTTTGTTACGGAGACATGTGGTGTCAGCATCACTTGTTTTCTAAGTGGATTTGGAGTACTTCCGTTCAAAACACAGGTAACTGTATGTACCATAACTAAATACTTAGCATGTTGCCCACAGAGTTTATTTACATATGTTTTGTCTCAATCAGAATCGTGTGGTCGAGGTTTGTAATGGAATCATAATATGTTCTCTGTGAGGTAAGACCTTTTGTATGAATTCATGTATAAAAGGGGATGGCTGTAGAAGATGCGGGGGAATACGGCATTTAATATAGATGTCGCCTGTTTTAGCGACAATTACTGCTGTTGTGTTGGGTGTAACAGGATGTCGTCCCTGTTTGTGTAAAGAACTCCTAGTTCTGTGAAGAGGTCGGATTATTAATAATGTTAAACATTCCCCTTACACGATGTGTATAGACGTTTCGGAGGAACATACTGCCTCTGTCCTCATAGTAAAACAAACGAAGCTAATAGGATGTAAACGGGAAGCAGAGCGAGCTGGACGTAGGGAACTCTGGGTGAGTCCTATAAAGCACCTGACGACGGAGGCAGTAAACTTCTTCCTGCCTACACGGCGTCACATCCCAGAAGATGGTCCCGAATCACAGTCAGTGCTGTGAGACCTGCAAATTCAATATTTGCTTTCTACTCAAGTGCTAGTTTAATTCTAGATGTAATGTGGGAGGGTAACTCTGGTGTTTCGTGCCTCTAGTCTGCATATAATAGTAGCTTCAAATTTTGTATTTAATTTTAAAATCTCTTGTTGCTGTGTGTGTGTGTGGGTGTGTTAATGTGTGTCATGTTCTGCAGTTTCACAGGTCTGCCAATGGTGGATCACAAAATATTGACTGATGACCAGATACTGGAAATTTCATAACGGGATTGTTTTAGTTGTAGTCCAGTAGGTAGGCACTGTGCTACAAGGCGATAGATCGAGGGTTCAATTCCCGAAGAGGTCAATGGATTTTTCAGTTGACCTAATCTTTCCAGCCGCACTGGGGTCTTGGGGTCGACTCAGCCTCTAACAAAAATGAGTACCATGAATCTTACTGGGGGTATTATTATTTTTTATTACTAGTGGGGGTGGAACTATTTCTGTTTTATTATTGCTAGTGGGGTGGGACTAAGTCCCTTGTACTGCGGCTTTTTCTGGCCTATTGTGCCAGCCCCAGATGATAGGTGAGGGTGATTGTGGAGCAGTTGGTGGAATGAAGATTGGCAGGGGAAACCGAAGTACTCGGAGAAAACCTGCCCCAGCTCCACTTTGTCCACCACAAATCCCACTTGACCGGACTCGGGATCGAACCCGGGCCGCCGCGATTGGAAGCCAGCGACTAACCGCTTGAGCTTGGCGCGACCAGACTTACGGGGGTTAAAGGGCGGCCGGTCGGAGCGTAAGGCTGACAACCTCACCGCCATATTTGAGCCGACTGTCTGGAAAATGTGGAAACCTCGGCGTCTCACAACCTTATGGACCTCCACGTCCTGTTACAGGGAGAGCCTTACCTTTTTTTTATTAGAAACAACACGCAGTATTTCTTTCTTATGAACAGTTTCGGAACTGTACAGTGAAATAGCTCTGGCTCGGAAACCGTTCGGAATAGGATACTTATGCATATACACTTTTGTGCTTAGAATGACAGATACCACGTGTATGATCTCCCTCTATAGTGTAGATGCTGAAAGCATGGTTAAGCAACCCAAAGAGGAGGTCTGGTCGTACCCTCAGACTGACGGTCTTTGTATCATGTCCTCGCATTGATCAGACCCTGTGATGTGCAGTGTATTTTAACCAAGAGTGTTTGCTATTCTAACATTGTGGCTTTTTGTTTTTTCTCTTGCAGTATTCCTTTACCGTTCACTTCCATCCTTCAGAAGGTAACCTTGACCACCAGGAGCCACCAGAGGTTCCTCCACCTTTACCTTCTCGGAACCGTCCTCTGGTGTCCCCTGTTCAAACACCTGGCGCTCCGCCTCCATTACCCCCACGCCACTACTGCCCTCACTTGCAATGTGCTGATGGTGGTGAGTCTTTGGGCGTAGAGAGCCTCCATAACGCGCATTTGTCGCCGACTAACCACTATGTAAGTAACACGTGCTGACGTCACATTGCTTTAGTAGTTTGGTCTGCTTGCTTTGTGGGTATGTTCAGAATGGGATTGATTACTGTCCGTACGTGTTTAACCATTTAAAGCACGGTGGTAACTGTTTGTTCCACCGTGCCCCCCCTACTAATTTGTATTTATGTGTTGAAAATGATTTTTATAGCAAACAGCTATGGCAGCAACTGGCTGGCTTTTGCGATGTGTTGAAGGTGGGATAGGAACTCAGTTTGTTTTAATATTATTTAAATGAACTGCAGAGTATTTTTGTTTTAAATATGTGTACTACACTTGATGAAGATGTTTGTAGCGGACTGGCCTGTTTTCACGTCACAGGGGGACACACCATGACGATAAACCGTAAAGTTGAAGCTTTTGAGATCTGGTCATGCCCCAAGAGGGGCTCTGGTAGTTGCGAAGTGGCCTAGAATGCAAAGGCGTGTTAATCTTCGTTTGCAGCAGCACCAGTGTGCGCCATCAGGAAGCGGAAATCCAGGCAACTGCCCCACCTCCACCGGCGCTTGAAAGATACCACAACTGAATAAAAAAAGAACTCCGTCGCCTGTATTCCGCAAGCGAACTATACCGACCGAGCGACCGCCGCTTTTCGCCGAAGTTAGTGTCAACTTTTGCGGATAGAGGGTGTCATCTGGTCAGCGCAACGGGTCTCCACGGCCGATAATCTCGGTGTTCTAGACCGGAGCCGTTATTTCCTTGAAAAGCTCCTCAGTTATCCTCACGAGGCTGAGTGGACTCCGTTCCAGACCAACTACTTCTCAGAAATTCTGGCAGCGCCGGGAATCGAACCCGGGACCTCTTGATCTGCAGGCAGTAACTCTGACCATTAGACCACAGAGGCCTGGATAAGAGAACGAAGCGTGCAAAACAATAAGATTTACAAGTATTTTTTGTAATAATTATTTTCCTACCCCGAATACTTATTACTCATGCTTTAAACTGTGGGTCGTGGCCCCGCAGGGGGTCTCCTTACTGTACAATGGGGCCCCGACTTCTCAATAACGATTTTGAACACAGTTGCATCCAGCTACACCTCTATAAGCCGCCAAGTCGAGAAGTTTTAGTATGCAGAGGTTTCCGGCAGCCGGGGTTGCTCAGTGTAAATGTAGGTACAGGTGAAGCTGTCCCTGTGCTCAACGAACTAAAGATTACAACATGAATGCGTATGGGGGAGTGGATGTATAGAACCCCACGTTTTCTTGACCTCGGCACTAACTGGAGGTGAGTGGTCAGGTTCACGCCTCGGCCTCTTTACCCCCGGGGAAAGAGCCTCTAATACCCATTGGATAGGAGGTTGAGTGGACCCCAGAGCCGGTCTGGACGTCGTGGAGAAAAGAAAATTCTTAACCCTACTGGGAATCGAACTCCGACCCCTCGGTCGCCCCTCCCGTAGCCAGGCTCTTACCGTAAATGTAGAGAAGGTTCTTGCTGTTGAGTTCAGGAGGATTCGAGCTGTTGCCCCAGATTGCAGGAGGATTCGAGCTGTTGCCCCAGATTGTCGCGGCTGTACATGCTTCCCTGAGTTCAGGAGGATTCGAGCTGTTGCCCCAGATTGTCGCGGCTGTACATGCTTCCCTGAGTTCAGGAGGATTCGAGCTGTTGCCCCAGATTGTCGCGGCTGTACATGCTTCCCTGAGTTCAGGAGGATTCGAGCTGTTGCCCCAGATTGTCGCGGCTGTACATGCTTCCCCGAGTTCAGGAGGGTTCGAGCTGTTGCTCTTGATTGTCGCAGCTTTACATGCTTCCCGAATGCATGCTTGGAATCGAGATATCGAAACCAGTAATAACCGCGGCAGCGAACTGCCCTGGATGTACACGGTCGGATCAGACAGACACTTACAGACTTTACGAAAGAGAAGTCGTGAAAACTATAAAACTGTAAAGTGATGCTGATGACAGAATTACGAATTTCAAGCACAGGCCGGAGGAACAAGTGACCATAAATGATACAGTGAAGATTTGCAGGGGCCAACGTGAGTGACGACAGGGCCCACACAGAACTACTTGCGATCAGCACGCTGCTCATCAAGAAAACAGTCCACCTAACTACTGCTACAGCGTATCTGTGGCACAAGCAGATTGAATAGGTTCTAACCTCAAAACATAGAAATGAAAGGAAAATATACGCAACAACCAAAAATATGTAAGATTTGAGGCTTTCACGGCGGTGACTATGAAGAATGCAGTCTTCNTCGTGTCTCACGGTGTTGTCGCTTGCAGATTTACTTATACTTTTTCTTCAACCCTGAAGATGGGGGCGATACGTTCCTCCGAAACGTCGGTTAACACCACATATACACGGTGCCAAATCCCAGAAGACTGCATTCTTCAACCAAAAATATGCTTGCCAACCTTGTGAAGTACGTTTACTCGCACGCACACACGCACGCACATGAGCCATTGGCCGGACCCCGGTCACGTGCTTGCCGGAAAGAGAATTTAGAAGGAAGCGGAACACTCAGAATTATTGGGTTTTTGGACTTTGCCCTTATTCCGGTATTCTAGAAACTAGAAAAAATGCGATCTTCAGCCACTCCATACCCACGTTCACTATTTGGAGGCCCCTTAAAACACTTCATAACATGCTTATTTTTATGGTGAAGTGCTTCACTCTCCATCTAACCCCAAAGTTTGAACAGCACCCATTGTCGGCTGTCGATGACTGCTGATTCGGTATAGCCAAAAGTACCCTGAATATGTGGAGGCTATGTGATCCATCCTCAACCTGAGGGTGTGCCGTGGGCGCAGTCAGAAGCCTAACCAGTTCAGAAACAAGCTGTTCATGACAGAATTAGTAATACCATAATTAGGCCGCGCCATAGCTCAAGCGGTTAGTCGCTGGCTTCCTACCGCGGCGGCCCGGGTTCGATCCCGCGTGTGGTCATGTGGGATTTGTGGTGGACAAAGTGGCGATGGGACAGGTTTTCTCCGAGTACTTCGGTTTCCCCTGCCAATCTTCATTCCACCACTTGCTCNTATATTTAAGCTAATATATTAAAATAACACATAATTATCAACACAATTTTATAGCCATCAAATGACAGGGCTGTGAACCTGGAATATAATTAATGCTTACTTTATTGTTTATAATTCAGCTCGATTCTTCTGTTTTTCTTGGCAAACAGATCAATAACCTCATCTAGAAAGCTGGGTTTGGACTGCAGTTTGTTTAGGAAGGACTTTTCAATGTTCATCAAAGCCAGTGATGACAACCTATCCTTGTTCTGCGAATTTCTAGTAAGCACGCTTAACTGCAAGGTCACAGATTATTCTACTGCAAACTGTGCCTTACATCTGGCAACATTGCTGGAAGCACGAAGCTGGTAGCATACCATAACGCATAGCTCAATTACAGACAACATTGACATTGAGTCAGCCAGTTAACCCAGGGGAGGGTGGAAGCGAAAGACCTGCTGCTTCCGCGCGTGTTGCAGTTTAAATTTCCCTGCATTTTGGAAGAAAATAACTGATCTATCCTGATAAATTGTTTATGTAACACATTAAAACTTGCAATATTCTCATTATATGTAATATATGTTCTCAGATTAATTAATATTTTGAAGTATGAAATTGAAAAATTGCCAGAAATGTTCTTGGTTGCTTTTCTATAGGGAAGCAATGCTTCCACCACATCCATGTACCCTACGCCCCTGGTGCCACCCCACTAGCAATAAAAAAAACATAACTCTTTGTCACAATCTTCTTTCTTTTGATTGTCACAGCCTCTACCTTCCACACTATATATGAGGGAGAATTAATAAATAGGTCACAAATGGTTATCAGAACGTAAAACATGTGACATATCCTCCACCAAAATTGATACACTTGTCTCATCGCTTTACCGGTGCGGCGAAACCCGCAGCATAGAAGCCTTTTGACTATTGTCTCAGCCACTTCGCACCCGGTCGGGCATCATCTGCGACTTCGAATGTCCTTGAGAGAATTTCTCGGCCAAGTTGTGAACCGCTTTACATGGCAAACACTTCCCACCATAAACAAAAAAAAAATATATATATATATCTTTATGAATATCGTTTGTATTGAATCATTTTGCCCACAGAAAGCACAACAGCGTTCTTTGGTATTATACTTCTGAAGGACAGTCGCCATTTTGACTACTGAAACCAGTCTTTGAACGGACGCATGCTCGTCAGCTACCTAGGCTGTCATGAAATTGGACTGTGCTGCTACCTGCTGTTGCACATAGTCTACTACGTCCATTACAGTTGTTTTAGTTCCATTTGTGACCAGTTTACTGACTCTCCCTCGTGGTGTCCATGCTGACATCATCATTAAGTAAGCAACTGAAAAACAAAAGTTAGTCCCTTCCTGTCTAGGCGGGTAATGTGCTTGTGTATTTGCTCTTTACTGTTTGTGTAAGATGGCTCTTGGACAGACATCACTTGATGGTGTGCTTTACCTTTAGCCCATTTTCATACTTAACGTCCTCACTATCAGCAACATCAGCAGTTTAAATGAGTTACGCAGGGGCAGATTTTGGGGTGGCTCAGGTTAGCACTACAGTTTCAGTGTCAGGTTGAGAGTTGCCGTGACAGGTACAGTATGCGCCAAAATATACAGTACTGAAATGAAAAGATGTCCTGTTGATACCACTGTCTATTCATGTGAAGGCCCCTTGCACGACAAAACCATCTGAAATCCTGAACAGATGGTCCAATCACCATGCCCCTGTAGTGTTCTAGGGTGATGGTAAGAGCATTGCCTTCCTCATCCTCAGTGAAATAGGGGCCTAATATACCATGTGCTGAGACAGCACACCATATTGTCACACGTGTCCTATGTAGCGGTTTCTGGACGATAACATCTGGCCGCCCAAAACCAAGGAAGCGAGTTGTCTGGTGACCACTTCCGTATGAGTGGAAATAATACTCGACTATGAATACTTTTTCCTCCTTCGAGAGACCTATTTCCAACAACAACTGCACAACACAACTTCCTTTTTACTACTGGGAACACGTGCGGCTGGAGCTGTGCCCCGTTGACAAACGCACATGCGCGTTCGAGATGTGCGAGTTTCATTACTGCATATTTTGTCGAATACTGCAATATTCTTCTGGGTTTGTAAGGCCACCTTGACCAGTGCCCTTGAGGTGTGAAATTTATATATGCCGTGATAGTTACCAGTTTGAGCAATTTTTAAAATACAGGGAGTTTTTTTAATAAAATTTACGGGTTCAGGGCTCTGCACTTCACTGCTGCCGGCGAACTGCATGCGAATTTTGTCCGTGACTCAGCATGCCGATAATATTTGGAATGAATGGAGTTTTTTACCTTTGTTTGCAGATCACAGAAGGTATTGAAAACGCTGTCACTCTACACATACAGTAAACAACTTTCGCGATTGATTCTTTAAAAAACACATGCACAACAATTGTTCCTGCACTTACAGCACACCAGACACCAACTTTCACTGGTTGGCTTCAGCAAGTGTGTTGCTGTTCCTGCACTAGACTTTGTCACTCCAGTCTCTTGAGCTAGACGTTTCATTGATTTTCTAGATGTATGGCCCTTATGTTATCTAACTTCTGTTCCATTGTTCTAAGTTTATTCACCAAATTATGAATTGTTTGTGTGATGGGAACCCTTTCATCACAAAATTTACGTCAAACTTTTTGTCGATACTTTTCAGCAGATTCGTATTGTATTTCAAGTAAGTGTCATACAGAAATACAAGATGCTCTGAAGTATCGGGAAGCATATCATGACACACTTTTGACTAACTGTTAACTGGGAACAAATGTCTCATGGTGCTGATAACTATTGCCTGCTGCTGAAAGATCATAAACAAATTCCACATCCATGAACTGCACTGCCTGCTGTGTAACGTAGTACTGTGTAGTGGTCTACAAGTTAATTATTTTCCTTCATTCCATATGTTATTAGCCATCAAGCATGCTGAGTCTTTGGCAAAATTCCCATGCACTTTGTGGCCAGCAATGGACTGGTCATGGTGAAGCACAGAACCATGAATTCGTCAATAGCCTTAGAAGTGTTCCTGTTGTATACAGTGAAGTGAATGTATTTTTATACTGTAGGACTTTTTGCAGCATCCTGTGGTTCTCTTTTTGGACTCTCTCTGCATGGAATATATATGGTAGTATATAAATATGTAGACTGTGGTGTATGGGATGTGTTGCATGCAGCCACATCCCAGAAGACAGCAGTGTCAGTAGTCATAATGATATATTTCAGCATCCTGTTGCACTGTATAGAGTGGTAAGTGCAATGTTGTTCCTTTATTGGACACTACATGTTTCAGCCTAACTGGCCCTCTTTATGTGTACAGGTTGTTGTGGTTAAGGATTCTGCTGCTCACTGTAATGTGGTTTTCTTTCCTCCTAATGTAGTTGCCTCTGGTTGTTTTGCATGTGTGGCTTTGTTCAGTGACCAACACACAGCAGAACTCCCACTCCAGCAAGAACACTCAAGACAATCACAACCAGCAAATCAAACAAAACCAAAAGTAACCATGTGCAACCCACATAACCAAAATGACCAGAGGCAATTACAATAGGAGGAAAGAAACCCACATTACAGTGAGCAGTAGATTCCTTACCCACAACAACCTGTACACCTGAAGACGGCCAGTTAGGCTGAAACATGTAGTGTCCAATAAAAGAACAACATTGCACTTGAACGGTGCAAAAAATCTCAGATCTTAGTACTCACTGCAGTATGAAATCTTGTTGTCTTGGTACATTTGAGTTGAAATAATGAAATTTTATTCAGGTGTTTTGGAATGAAAACTCAAATTTCATGTCAGTGTGTTGAAGTGTTGTGTAGACAATGTATAATTGTATTAAGGGAGGTAGTGAGGTTTTCTGTGGTGTTCTGAATGTTCCAGACTGCGAGTCCTCAAGTGTCAGCCCTTCACACGCACCACAGAACCAAGTCGAGCCCCGATCCACTGAACATGCATAACATGTCTCTGGCAGAAGGTAAGGCTCCTCTGCAATAACTGGGCAGTCATGTTAAGTTCCTCGGAAACATACGGCCTCCTCCACATATATCTCAAACTGTTCTTCCTAGCCCTCCACCATATTTCTCTGTGTTCCTCTCGCATACGACATTCTATTCACACAAGTGTAGGTAGGGGTAACCATGTGATAACCTGTCCCTGTGACAAGTGCTTTAGGCTTTGCCAGAGGGGCCTGGAAGGGAAATCCCCCAGTGCTGTTGTCCCTACCATTCATGGGACCTATTTCCATGGCCTCTGTATAGTGATGAACATTTTGGGCTGCTTGATGCAGGGAAAGGCGAAGGGAACCAGTAGAGGAAGGATTGCCTTGAATGCTGCCATCCCCATGATCAGTGGGACACTGTGCTGTGTTCTCAGCTACTGCTTCCACATGAATTCTGTATTTTCAACGTTAAAGACCGTGGGTGCATGAGGCAGAAACTGACTGGCATGCTGAGAGAAATGTACCAGGGGACTGACACCTAGCTGAATTCTTCCATTAAGACAGTTGTCATTCAAATATGCTGACATGATCTAGTCCTTTTGTGGTTTGCAGATGGTTAATAAACACATGACACATAATAATTGGATGGTAGTCCATGCAATAGTCAAATATATCTGGCAAAGTCACAGTTATTTTAACGCTTAAGACATGGTTCTTAATCGTTTTTTGTCAAGAAACTTCATGACAGTACAGTAAATCCTCCTTATAATGGACTGATAGCTGGGACAGGGTGTACATTATTACCGATGTCTGCTATAAGTGAGTGAAGGGGTACCATAGGAAGTAGACCTTTGGATACACAGCCAGTGCATGCAATAAGCATAGAAACAGTATATTTACATAAGTATGTTCATAATGGGGTTCTCTTTTATTTTAAACAGTCCTTCCTGCCTCAACATATCCAAAAATTCACAATTGTACACATCCAGATTTTGTCAGTTATACTCAAAGTCCATTGTACCCCCCAGTCTTTTGTAATAAGGGTCACTGTATTTTGTGGTTTGGTTGTTCAAAATTCTATTTTAAGGTTTTTTAAGTATCAGAACAAGAGTTATGATGTTTATGTGTTATTTACATGTAACACAAATTATGTATTACAACTTGGTGCAGCTTAAGGGGTACTGTAGGCAGAGCTTTCTGACACATGAGGAAGGACACAGAACAAAGACTACCTTACATAGTGACATAGTGTAGTGTTCAAACCAGTACTAAAGCATGTGGGTGAGACCAGGATACTAACATCACAATGTAGGTGACATTAAAAGCAGATAAAGGTAAAGTTGTTCCTGTGCTTAAATAATTAAGCACTACACCATGAAGGTGTGTGGGGAGTGGATGTAAGATCCATGTTTTCTTGACCTTGGCACTTGTTGGAGGTGAGTGGTCAGCTTCATGCACCGGCCCCTTCTCCCCCCCTCCCCACCGGCCTACTGGATAAGAGGCTGGGTGGACCCCAGAGCCTGTCTTGTCCCTACCGGCATTCCTAACTATGACCCCTCAATTCTCCAGCCCATAGCCAGTCACTATACTGACTGAACTATTCGAACCTTACCTTAGTAGCAGAAAGCATGAGAATTATGGGACTGGGACATGGCATGGCACTGAGAACTGAAGAGATGTGTATGCAGTAGGTAGAAGAGAATTGAAATAACTGTCCACAGCATGTCTCACCATTGCCTTTTTATAGATTTCCATTCCAAACTTTATGGTGTAGACCTAGCAACAGTGACTCCAAGGAAACTATACTGCCACCATCTTCAGATCTGAGGAGTATGTCACGTGAGGAAGCAAGCAGAGTGAGCTCAGTGTGGATTCTGTAAGGGCCTCGATTTGCTTGCTGCTGTTGGTTCATTCAGGGTGGCTATCCAACCCTACTGCTTGCTTGGCCTGCATTTCAGCTCTGGAAATGCAGGCAGTATATTCTTCCAAAAATGCCAGTAAACCTCTACCAGAGAGCACAGCATCACATATCAGACTGTACTCTTAATACAGTATAGGTGCACACAATTTGAACGGATGACCTAAGTCATGTGCATCTTTACTTGCTGACTGTTCTTGTAAGTAATAACGGAAGCTGTGATGCTGTGCACAGGTGCATATCATTGGTGTTTTTCTTTCTGAAAAGGTCTTCATCTGCTCACATTTTGTGCCCCCCCCCCCTGCTGTCTGTGTATAATGTAAGAGAATAGACTGTGTGCACTCACTTCAGAAATTGGAAGTGACAGTGCTTTTTGCAGTTGAATTAACCTTTGAATAAGATGTTGCTTTTTTTTTTTTCTTTTCCAGCTTCTAGACGTTTGATTGCATCTGAATCAATGTCAGACTTGTCATGTGGTCCTAAGCGAGTGACAGCAGGAAGCACTTGGGATGTGGATTCTCCAAGAGTTACCCCTCCAGGCACACCACCCCCCCCATATGGAGGGGGCAGCAGCATTCTTAGCGAAGGACCAGAAACCGTTTCTCACATTGAAGAAGATGCCGCTACTCCTGATGAGGTATAAAATTGAGTCAGTATACGGTTCAGACCCGTTGACTGATAGCCATGTTAACTGAATGAAACATGGCAAGGATACTCTCCCTTTATTGTTACTGCTAGTCTAAGGTAGAGGTAAAGTTGTCCATATGTGTTCAGGCGTAGCTCTACCATTCTTGACATCGGCACTAGATGGAGTTGACTGGTCAGCTTCACGTTCTGGCCGATTTACCTCCAGGGAAATTGCCACCAGTACCCATTGCATAGGAGTTTTGGTGTACCCCGGAGCCAGCCTGGACGCTGTGGAGAACAGAAAAATCATGCCCTACCAGGAATTGAAGCCTGGCTGTCCAGCGTGTAGTCTGTCACTATACCAGCTGAACTATCCCCAGCTCCCCTGTTAGTATAAAACTTTTGAAATTGTAAGAGGAAGTTCTAGAGTATAACTTGTTGAGAGAATTTGGTATATAAAAGAAAACTTCATGCAAGACACCTGGCATGAGTTAGTTGTGTGAGTTGGCGTGCCCACTCAAGTCGTCCCTGGTAGAGAGGGAGTGACCATTAGTAGTGAGACCCTTTCCTCATTGAGGAGGAAGCCTCTATTTAAAATGGTGCAAAAGTCATGGAAAGTACAGAAATATGGTCATGGGTCTTGATGGGATCTGAAACCAAAACTGATCATGCTGGCGAGGACCAGCAAAAAATTACCTGACCGACTGACGTAGGTTGTTCACTACCTAAACTTCTACAACGTTTCTTAAATGTCAGTTACATTATCCTCATATTTCACAGTGAAATTATTGTTGATTCTTCATTCTAAGAATTTCCCTTTGTTTTAAAGAAATGCTTCATCAGTAAAACATCATAAACAAAAGGAAACAGATTTGTCTTCATTGTGAATTGTGTGACATTTTAGGAGACAATCATTGTAGCATACCTTCATCATGCAAGGGTAGATTTAACTGCATTCTTGTGCCAGGGCTATTTTATATTTATTTTTATGCAATTTTAAATGAACATCACATCTCTCATCCTTGGATTGTAAGCATGATTAGTCAGACCCTTCTACAGTCTGGCGCCTATGTACATATTATTCCAGCCAGAATTACTTTTCTTTTTTTGGACTTTGTTCATCCTCTGCTATTCTAAATGGGTTGCCAAGTGGTTGAGGTTAGCTCTTTCTAACGGACTCAACAGAGTAGGTGTCTCCCCCACCAAAGGAGGAGAAACAGATCCAGTTTCTGAAACCTTGTGTTTTCTGTTTTTCAGAATACTGAAGGATGGTCAAACTCCAAAAAGCCAGTAATTCTGAGTGTTGTATAGCACCATCAGAACCCTTATGTTCTTCTTATATTGTCTCAGGTTCCTTAATGGATGCATTTAACTCAGTTTTGCACAGGTTCAAATGGCCACAGAAGCTGAGGTGACCGTAAAAATCTAGTGTGTATGTGACATTAAGTCTGACAGATCTAATTTAACTTACAAGTTTTCAGATGTATGCTAGTATTGTATGTAGTTTTATATGAATTTTGTCATCATTCGTATATTTCTTGCACATCCTGATGATGGCCTATCTGGGCCGAAGCAAGTTGCAGGTGGAATGTTAAAAGCATTCGTTTTTGTGACTAACGCATTCATTTTCATATCCTCCTCCTCTACAGAGTCCAGACTGGCTCTGGGGCCCACCCAGCATCCTATCCAATGGGTACTGGGGGCTCTTTCCCCTGGGGGTATATTGGTCATGTCTTCATGGCATAGTGCTGAACTAATTAAGCACAAGGACTGTTTACCTTTTGCCTTTGACCCCAAGTTGCCAGATTGTGTAACTGGGTGTTCCATCATATTCTAACCTACTGCTGTTGTTAGTTGCTGTATTATAATATCACTGAAGTGAAGGTGTCTGTCTGTGTCTGTAATTTAGCATCAAGGTGCATATGGGAATGAGGCATATAGCTCCATGCATTCTAAACCTCAGCAGTGGACTGAGGCGAATGTTAGCTTCAAACCCCAGGCACTTTACACCTGAATAAACAACACTTCCTCCCCATCTATCACACAGGAGGCTGTGTGGGCCCCAGACACAGTCTGGATGCTGCAAGGAAGAGAGAAATCTCAGCCTATCTTGAGAATTAAACCTTGATTCATATATATATATATATATATATATATATCCTACTTTAGTCACTGTACTGACTGAGCTATTATGGCTGTCAGTTATTTGTTGGTACACCTTTTATTTTAATGACCCAGTCTCTTTGGCTTCTGTGTACCAAAACATTTGGCTTTTATGAACCCTTGCATGGGAGGATTTAAATCCCATCTATTAACATACTACGGGAGGAGTTTCCACTGGGCTATTGCATTAAGACACAGCAAGTAACCCTGGCTCTTGAACTAGTAGTAACTCTTATTTTTCATCGTGGGAAGCAGACCTACTTTTGTAAAAATAAGGAAAAAACAGTCACTTGAATTTTCAGTCTTGTTTACTGTCCACCATGCAACGATATCAAGATTTAAAATTTGTCACCGCACTACATATTTCAGCCTACTCAGCCATCATTTTAAGAAGGATTTAATTTTACATGCTGATATCATTAGGAGGTGGATGACTGCAAACAAAACTGAAAATTCTAATATCAGCTGTGGAAGGGTGCTAAGGTACAACATTAGTATTTGCATCTGGAAGGTTTTAGTAGCTGACAAAATGCCATTTAACACCTGATTTGTGATGGACATTTTCAGAGTAATTTACTCAAAAAGAAAAATGTTAAAGCCAGTTTATACACGGTTTATACAGTAACATGCACCTTTATCTCAAAGCATATAAAGTTCTAGTATTTAGAAGTGACAGTCCAGGAAAAGCTGCGCAAGTGGATGGGCAGGTCCATTCGTGAAAGTTGAGGGGTGTTGTGATTAGTCATTCATCTGTATTCAGTGCGAGCAGATGTCTCAAGTTGAGTTAAAAGCATTCTTCCTTGTACAGTCAAGATAAAAATTTTGACTCTTGGAGTCATATTTGAGTGTATTATTCTCTATTTACTGTATTAATATTTTATTGTTTATTTTTATTTGTTGATTTTCTTTTTTGTTTATTTATATTTGTAAATTTTCTCTATCTCCTTTAACATGCCACCTACACGAAGGAAATCGAGTGGAAAAGCGTTGCATTCACAATCAAGAGAAATTGTTAGTAATGTATTGTGACAAGTTGACCCCTACATCCCCAGCTGCACGTAGCGGTAACGTAGCGCTCGCGTAATAGGCGAGTAATCACCCCGCAACTCTCCCCGCGGTGACGTCACGAGCGGAGCCGACGTTAGCCGAGTCCCCGCAACCTTGAAGCTATGCAAAGCGAGTCAACAGCGGTGACGTCACCAAGGGGTAACAGCGTCCTAGGCTATACGCCACGTCACACTGGCAACAGCGAACAGAATAAAAGCCGGCTGAGCAGCAAGCGAGAGTCAGTGTGTTATCAACAGTGCTCAAGGTAGCAGCCTGCGAGTGTGCGATAACCAAGAAATCAGCGAGCGGAAGACTTATTATGTGCTTTCGAGACTTAGTGAGTGCTGTAGTACAGTTATACTTGGAGTGTGTAATTCAGGGAGATTTGTATAGCTCCCGCGTTATTAGTACAAGAAGATTTTGTTGTAGGGTTTGTAAAGTGTGGAAACCCGTATCAGTGTCATAATTAATTGTAGCCGGTATTTGTAGATTGTTCAATAAACCAATTAACGATCTCTACGGCGTATTCTGTAACGAAACACGTTACAGTATACAAGTACAGTAAAACTTGGTTATAGCAACATCGGTTTCTGCGACACCTTGTCTATTGCGTCAAATATTCAATGGTACGAACTAATTCCTCATAAAGCAACTATTTTTATACCTTGCTTAGTATNTTTTAGGTCCCTTTGATGACGTTATAACCAAGTTCTACTGTATATGAAAGAGGCTGGGCCAACACTTACAGTGAGGAACATAGGAGTGGAAGTAGCAAGGGCAACCGGTGTATTGGAAAATAGTGTCAGAAGAATAATAAGAGAAACAAAAAATATCGAATCTGGGGCTTCCACTTCCTTTTTGACACCCCATAAAGAAAACCGTAGGAAATCTCCACTAGCCACTTCGGATGATTTTAATAAGTCTGTGGTGTGAAGAACAATTAATGACTTCTACATAGACAAAAAACGGAGACCTACCATGAAAAAAGTTCATGAAAAGTTGAAGAAAGCGTTAGATTTTCAGGGATGCATCTCCACATTAAAGAAAATTATTTTGAAACTGGGGTTCCGCTGGAAGAAAACAAAACATAATTGGCAGATACTGGTGGAACAATACAATATCAGAGCCAAACCTCTTCAGTATCTGCAGCAAATTAAAGAATATAGGCATAGGGCCGCCCAGTCATCTACATGGATGAAACCTATGTTCATTCATCGCACACCACCCAATATGCATGGAGTGATGGATCCATCCAGGGATTATTTTCCCCTGTGTTCAAAGGCCAACGGCTCATTGTTATCCATGCATGGGGAGAGCAAGGTTTCATCCCTAATGCCTGTGTCCGCTTCAAATCCCACCAAAAAGCAGGAGCCTACCACAGTGACATGAACTATACCAATTATGAAAAATGGTTAAAGGAGCGACTTATTCCTAACCGTCCTCAAAATTCTGTCCTTGTCATTGATAATGCTCCCTACCATAAAGTACAACTAAACAGAGCCCCTAACTCAAATTCAAGAAGAGATTTTGTGATATCCTGGCTAAAATATCACCTTCCACCTATTACCTTCAGTTACCCTGATTTTTCATAATTGCAGAATCCAGACATATATAATATGATCCTACCGCTCAAACCGAAATACCTTTCCTATAAAATAGATGGAATCTTTGCAGAACACAATCACGATATTTTACCACTCCCTCCGTATCACCCAGAACTCAACTCAATTGAGTTAATGTGGTCCACCGTAAAAAATTTGGTTGCTCAAAACAATACCACATTTAAGATGGATGACATCATTAAACTGGCAGACCAAAAATTGGCTTGCATAACCGCAATGTAGGTGCCAACATTTAAGGAACATTGAGCAACAATTAATGGCATGGGAAGGCCTTTTGGACGCAGGACGGGAGTTCGTCTTCCATGTTGGTGGTGATAGTGATGACAGTTCTGATGATAGTTCCAATTCATCTGGTGGTGATGAGGAAGGACAGGCATGTGGAGATGATATCTATGCGGACATTGCCAGTGTTGCCCCTTTAGAATAGACGTGTGTAATATGTAAATAAACTCTTCATGTATAAAACAGTGAAAAGTGTATAATAGTGTATAGTGCATAATAGTCTGCCATTCTTCACTTAAAACTTAATATCGAATGTGTGAACATCATCGTGACTTAACCACCAACACTATGCAACACAATGAGGTAAGAAGTTATTTCCTTTTGAGAACGCCTGTACTGCATTCCCCTCCACACTTGTCGGCATGCTGCTGCTCTCCCCACCACTACAAATATTTCTCCTACTCTGCGTTAGAGGACTGTCAGCTCTAAATACTACAACTCTACAAGCAGACTTTGTGTGGTTCAGATATGGCTTGTGAGACAGAAGCACAAAGCATGTGCAGGTAACAGTGTTCCATGCAGACAGGTAAACAAGGGTGTAATGAGATACATGTGTTTCATGATGTGCAGCATGGTGGTGGAGATGCAACTTCACCGGAGGTGTCACCCCTCAGGACAAGTTGTGGTTCATGTACAAATACAGCTACTATGCAGCAGCAGCCAATCATTTCGATGGAGGAGGATGAGATGTCTGACCAAGAAGTTGTGAGTACTGATCAGCTGTCAACTCTGTGAACATCATACTTTGTGTAGGCAACCTCAAATCTTACACAGTACAAGGGCTATTCTGAAATTGACCTTGGGTGAGCTGTTAACAAAACAGACTACAAGAAAACAGTTGTATTATATACAGAAAATACGTACATATTTAACCCTTTCACTGCTAGTATGTTAATTAACTCTCAGTACCCTCTGTGCTGAATTATTTTTGAATAAATCTTTTATAAATAATTTAAGTGCAAAGTATGAACATTTGTGATAAAATGTAACTAATCTTACCTCAGACAGGGAACAGGCATCAGAAGTTGCAAATATGTTTAGTTATTCAGTATTTTTCACGGGGGGGGATATCCATTAAACCAGGGTTGTCGAAGATGGCCAAAAAAGTACAAAATTCACTATCCTAGTCTTATCACTGTGTCATATGTTGAGTGAAGTCCACAACTTTATTTAAAACTATTGTAGAAAGCACCATGCACTATATGAAGCCATTTTTACTAGCCCTGTGAAATACTCTCGTCACATGACCATGGAGCGCGTGCCTCGCTGTGCAGATGCAACCTTTTACATTTCTTAAGCTAGAGGGCAGAAGAATGCAGCCATTGAAATTAATGATGCTTCATTATGTTCCCAAGAGATGACTCTATGCTTCCGCCAAGTTTGAATGAGATTGGTGCAAAGGAACCTGAAATTTGAAACTCTAAATTCGCATTACAGGTTTTGTCGGTCACAGCAAGGACGCCATGTTCTTCAGAGATTTCATATGTCAGCTGCAGCAGTGTAAGGGTTAAGCGACTTCTGAACATAGTCACCACTGGAACTGAGGCACTTGTTGTATAGGGGAATATATTCTTGTGTGCCTATATCAAAGAAGTCTGCTGCCCATGATCCCAGCCACGTTTTGACACCTTCCATCAACTCCTCTTATTGTTAAGTTCTGTGATCCCAACCAGTTCTTCAGGTCGGTAAACAGGTGGTAGTCGTAAGAAGGGTGGTCATCAAACAGCTCTCAGTTGAAATGCCCCTTTAGTGCTCGAGTGTGAGCAGCACATGGTCGTGGAGGAACACTACACCAGATGTCAGGATTCCACTCCTTTTGTTCTGAATGGCCCTAAGAATTTTTTTTTGGTGTTTCACAGTGCACTTGTGACATTATTGAGGTCCCTTGTTGCATGAGTTCCACCATCAGCACCACTTTCCTATCCCAGAAAACAGTTGCCATCAGCTTTCTGGCATGCAAATGTTTATTTAAACTCTATCACCTTGTCTGGTGAATGTGTGTGCATCCACTGCTTTGAGCATTTTCGAAAATCATCTCGCACAAAACTTGTGGTAGCCTAGTCTGACTGTGATAATCTTGTAGAGAGCAGCTTGTGAAATTTGTGGAAACTCGCACAGTAGTTCTGAAATTGTGAAGCATCATCTTTCACAAGTTTTTTGGTCAGCACTTTGAACAAGATCATCACTCACTACAGATGGCTGACCACTTTCCTCTTCTTCGTGAACATTCTACACCATTGTCTGATAGTTTTTTCACTCATTACATTTTCGCCATAAACGACACATGATTCACAATGGATTTCCCCAGCATTAGTGTTTTTAGCATGGAGGAAGTGGATCACAGTGCAAATTTTGTGGCTGGTTGGATTATCAATCACAGGACACATCATAACTCACACTGTAGAGACAAGAACAAACACTAGGTGACCAGTTATATGATGATTTACAAGGTAGTGAGTAAAGTGACACTACCTGCATGTGTGAGCTTTCCCCTGCTCCTACATTAGTTAGATAAAATAAATGGAAGTTACTTTGCGAATAGCCCTCACATGTTACAATTTCTCACCAACTCACAAATGCAGGAAGGATGTTAAAAATAGAATCTAGTAACTCTCATATTATAGGATGATGTTATATGTTGCTGTTAGATTGTGACACATCCTCATTTCCATACAAAATGGATCCTGTTAGTCTATCTGAAAGTAGACAAAGGTATACAGAGAATTCATTTCTGTAGTTTGTTAGTGTACTGTCACAGGTGTTGCATGAAATCTGTAGCTCATTTAATGGCGTTGTCAGGAACTCTCAGTGAGTGTCATATAAAATGTCTCTGAATCAAGAACAGAAGCCTGTGTAAATGTATAGTTATTGGGCACCTACGTTACGTTCCGTAGATCCAAAGTAAGTCAGAATGACTGTAGGATGTGGAAGACGCCATAAATACTGTTACTGGGCTTGATTGAGACAGTTATTGAACACTTCTTACACCATCCTGAACTTATCTGTTGTTTCTGTGGGTTACAAGAGTATGTCACAGTAAGAACCTGTGACCGTCAGTTTGGACGCTTACTTCAAAATTTACTTTTGTGTTGCAAGTGTGCACACCTTATTTGGGCTGACATTACTATCATACTTGTTGTCTCTTATCCAACCCATGATGCTGCATCTGCGTTGACATCTGTATTCCTATGTCTGTAGCAGCTGTGACAGAATTCCAGAATTGGAATAAGTTTCTTGTGGTATTTTGCTTTGCAAAATTCGTGATACAAATTTGATTTTTGAAGAAAGGCATCTTCTGGGATCTGGCACCGTGTATTCTTGGTTTTCACCGACGTTTTGGAGGAACGTATGGCCTCCATCTTCAGGGCAGGTGAAAACCTCAAAACTTACAAATTTGATTTTTGTTTTGCAAGTCTGGGACACTGAATTAACATTCTGAATTCCTTGAAAAGTTTATTTTTAGCTACATGTTTTGGGATTTTATTGCACTTTCCTTTGCTTTACTTCTTCATGTATTTTTTCTATTGTTTCATCTTCTCCTCTTGTGCTGCCTTGACGAGATGGCTTGTTCTCACATATCTTTTCGATATTTTCTTGATGTTAATGAAAACTGTTATCTTTCAGCGTTAGGTGTATCAGGCCACACAAGGAATTTACTCATATATCCAGTGTGGACAGTATTTTTTTATTGCTAGTGGGGTGGGACTAAGTCCCTTGTACTGCGGCCACTTCTGGCCTATTGTACCAGTCCCAGATGATAGGTGAGGGTGATTGTGGAGCAATTGGTGGAATGAAGATTGACAAGGGAAACCGAAGTACTCGGAGAAAACCTGCCCCAGCGCCACTTTGTCCACCACAAATCCCACTTGACCAGACCCGGGATCGAACCCGGGCCGCCGCGATGGGAAGCCAGTGAGTAACCGCTTGAGCTATGGCGCAGCCACTGTGTGGATAGGAACTGAAATTGGAAATTATTCATTTCAGTTATTGGCAACGTTTTGTTTGCAATATGTGTTCTCAAGTAACATAGCAATCACAAGTAAATCTTATGAACTGTATATTCTGGTGGTCTCTGAGGTTTGTTGTAGTTTGAAAAGAATAGTGGGAAGACTGAAGCGTAGGTGAGTGGATAATATTAAAGTGGATGTTAGAGAGATAGGATGGGATGGTATGGATTGGATTGATCTAGCTCAAGATAGGGACCAGTGGAGGGCTGTAGTGAACATGGCAATGAACCTTTGGGTTACATAAAATGCTGGGAAATTGTTGAGTAGCTGCAGAATTGGCTCAGCTCCATGAGTACGTAAGTAAGTGCCTCAGCTGTGCGGATTGCTGTGAGGTGGCCAACAGCTGTGCTGTGTAACCTACCTCCTTGCGCAGCTTCTTCTATTCAGTATTCACACACAACATGCCCAGCACACACACACACACACACACACACACACACACACACACGTTTCAGGGAAGTGAGTTTATTTGATTCTTGGGTTGTGAGACAGTGCATATGAACTGGCATTCTTACTGTGGCATGTCCGCTATTTGAGCAGATGCCATATGTTTATTTTGTTTGTTCTTTGCATCGTTTCAGGGGCAGTTGGAAGACCATGGGCCATTCAAAAGCCTTTCCAAGCTGTGGGAACATAACGCACATCTAGCAGTGTTCATGAACTACGTCATATCAAACAGTGATCCATCAAGTTTGGTACGGAATTATGTGTATATATATCTCGTTTACTTAAATCTTAATTGTTCTGATTTTTTATTTTATTCCTGTTAATCTGTTCTAGTAATTATGTTGAACAGTACATAAAGTACTTTCCTAATAATCATTTCTCTTATTTCAGTTGTTTTATTTGATAACTGACCTGTACAAAGAAGGGAACGCCAAGGAAATGAAGAAGTGGGCATATGAAATTCATTCGAGCTTTCTGGTTCCTGGAGCGGTAAGCTTTTGTCTCACAGTAATTACATGTAACTTCTGGCATATTTTCATTCCCCCCCAATATGTACGAGGGTGAGTCAAATGAAAACCTTAAAAAACCTTAAAGTGAAAACTTTAAATATTCTTTTATAGTATTATTTATTGTGCACAAGTGGTACAAAGCTGTATCACTTTTCAACATAATCTACCCCACGCTCAATGCAAGTCCTCCAGCGCTTACAAAGTGCACGAATTCCTTTAGAAAAAATTCTTTTGTAGGTCCGCGCAACCACTCATGCACTGCGTGGCATACCTCTTCATCAGAACGGAATGTCTTTCCTCCCATTGCTTCTTTGAGTGGTCCAAACATATGGAAATCACTTGGGGCAAGGTCTGGTGAGTATGCCGGATGAGGAAGGCACTCAAAATGCAGGCCATTCATTGTCGCAACTGTTGTATGGGCTGTATGGGGCCTTGCATTGTCATGTTGCAAAATGATACCTGTGGACAGCAATCCACGTCGCTTTGATTTGATTGCAGGCTGAAGATGATTTTTTAGGAGATCTCAGTATGATGCACTGGTGACAGTGGTCCCTCTAGGCGTGTAGTGCTCCAAGATGACACCTTTTTCGTCCCAAAAGAGAGTCAGCATAACCTTCCCTGCTGATGGTTGTGTTCAAAACTTCTTCGGTTTTGGAGATGAGGAATGGCGCCATTCCTCGCTCGCTCTCTTCATTTCCAATTGGTGGAAGTGAATCCAGGTTTCGTCCCCAGTAACGATTCTTGCAAGGAAGTCGTCACCTTCTCGTTCAAAGTGCCGCAGAAGTTCTTCACACCATCAATAGGTCGGTCTTTCAATTCAGGAGTCAGCTGCCATGGCACCCATCTTGCAGACACTTTGTGAAACTGGAGCACATCGTGCACAATGTGGCATGCTGAACCATGACTAATGTTTAAACTTGCTGCAGTTTCATTCAATGTCACTTAGTGGTTTTCCCTCACTATGGCTTCAACTGCTGCAGTGTTCTCTGGAGTCATAACTCGATGTGCCTGGCCCGGACGAGGAGCATCTTCCAGTGAAGTCACACCATTTGCAAACTTCCTACTCCATTTGTACACTTGCTGCTGTGACAAACATGCATCACTATACTGAAACTTCATTCTTCGATAGATTTGAATAGGTTTCACACCTTCACTACACAAAAAGCGAATAACAGAACGCTGTTCTTCCGTGGTGCAAGTCTCAAGTGGCGCAGCCATCTTATACTGGTGCTGTGACAGTGTTCGTGCATCTGCACAATGCTGCAACCTATGGGCTATTCTGCACCCTGTTTGTAGCACGCTTACCAACTTACAGAATAATGGCGTGAAATTTCGATTTTTTTATGACAAATTTAAGGTTTTCATTTGACTCACCCTCGCATTTCTGCAGCTTTTAGTCTACCCTTTTGTCATTCTGTATGTGTCCCACACTCAGATCCATAGAGGAAGAGTTCATATCACCATAATCTTATGGAATTCAAGTAGGGTCTCTCTCCTAATATTACCGACTGAAGTGTTAATAATAATACTGCATGTTTGTTGGATCTTTGTAGTTTCACATTGATCAGAACCCATACTAAGATTTGAATAATTAAAATTCAATATTTGTTCAAGAGTATGTTCATTAACTGCAATTTGAGTTCTTATGAAACTTGTTTCCAATGCAGAGGTCAGAAATTAAAGAAGCTGTAAGAATCACACGTTTCGCAGCAGTGTCTTTAAAAGAAGTGTCAGGACATGCTCAGATGTCCATTGAAGTACCAGGGGTCCTCCCTTGCTTGACAACAGCTGTGGTGCTGATACCATTAATTGGCAGACTTCAGTGTAGGAATGCTGAGGGATTCATCCCTAGCTCATGTGCTGGTCCCTGGTGCTGGCATTTCTTAGAGGTTACTATGTGCGCTGTCTGAGATGTGAATGTCTATATTTTGTTAGGCCAGGAAGGTCAGTGAGATCATTTTTGGCTTTCATATATGTGGCTGTGAATAGTGGATCTTTTTGGTCATAAGCTTAGCTTGCCACCTGCTTCTGCTGCTTTCTTGCTTCTCTTACTCTTCAACCCTGAAGACGGAGGTGGTACATTCCACCGAAATGTTGTTCTCTGCCAGAACCGCTTAATGTTACTACCCGGGAAACCATACTCTACAGTCATCGTAGAATTCAGAAAACCGGTGGCGGCATTCAAGTAACAGAACTCTTGTTTGGGTGAAGGGAAATGCATATCTAGTCCCTGGCACATTCATGGTACCTGATAAGGTGTAAAAATCCCGGAAGTGAAGGGCTGTCAGTGGCACAGTGGAGCTCTGAGGCATCCACTAAGCTCATACTTAACTCTAAAACTGCTTCCAGCAAGCGGCCTCAGGTAGCTTGTATCTTCGTTGCACAAGTATGCACTGTACCATATTAGATTTAGGCTATTTTCAGCTACTTATTTGTGAAGGAAACACTGTGGTGTTGCCTTTGTGTGAACAAATACAGGAAGACCATAAAGTCTTAGCTCTATTACAAACATACCTGAAAGAAGAGTACAAGAGAAGTTGACAAACAATTTATATTGCAAAAAAAAAAAAAAAAAAAAAAAAAAAAAAAAAAAAAAAAAAAAAAAAAAAAAAAAAAAAAAAAAAAAAAAAAAAAAAAAAAAAAAAAAAAAAAAAAAAAAAAAAAAAAAAAAAAAAAAAAAAAAAAAAAAAAAAAAAAAAAAAAAAAAAAAAAAAAAAAAAAAAAAAAAAAAAAAAAAAAAAAAAAAAAAAAAAAAAAAAAAAAAAAAAAAAAAAAAAAAAAAAAAAAAAAAAAAAAAAAAAAAAAAAAAAAAAAAAAAAAAAAAAAAAAAAAAAAAAAAAAAAAAAAAAAAAAAAAAAAAAAAAAAAAAAAAAAAAAAAAAAAAAAAAAAAAAAAAAAAAAAAAAAAAAAAAAAAAAAAAAAAAAAAAAAAAAAAAAAAAAAAAAAAAAAAAAAAAAAAAAAAAAAAAAAAAAAAAAAAAAAAAAAAAAAAAAAAAAAAAAAAAAAAAAAAAAAAAAAAAAAAAAAAAAAAAAAAAAAAAAAAAAAAAAAAAAAAAAAAAAAAAAAAAAAAAAAAAAAAAAAAAAAAAAAAAAAAAAAAAAAAAAAAAAAAAAAAAAAAAAAAAAAAAAAAAAAAAAAAAAAAAAAAAAAAAAAAAAAAAAAAAAAAAAAAAAAAAAAAAAAAAAAAAAAAAAAAAAAAAAAAAAAAAAAAAAAAAAAAAAAAAAAAAAAAAAAAAAAAAAAAAAAAAAAAAAAAAAAAAAAAAAAAAAAAAAAAAAAAAAAAAAAAAAAAAAAAAAAAAAAAAAAAAAAAAAAAAAAAAAAAAAAAAAAAAAAAAAAAAAAAAAAAAAAAAAAAAAAAAAAAAAAAAAAAAAAAAAAAAAAAAAAAAAAAAAAAAAAAAAAAAAAAAAAAAAAAAAAAAAAAAAAAAAAAAAAAAAAAAAAAACAGCTAATGTGATGATGATTGTGTGGCCGATGGTGACACTGCTGAATGAACACGGTTGCAGAAATGAGAATTACATCACCACTGTGGCACTAGGCACGTTTCTGCCAGGAATACAGAAGACATCCACATTGAGGACAGTCCAGCAAGTGGCTGTTGATACAGGAAGAAGAAAGACAGGCCTTTGGTAAATGCTGGCTCAGTTGTCAGGGTTTGTGAGGCTTTTCAATGCAGCCCAGAGAAATCCGTTCATCATGTCAGCAGGGAACTGTGATTTCCCCATTTGTCTGTGCAGAAAGTTATCCACAGCAGGTTAAATCCACATACAGACAAGATACAGATGGTTTAAGCACTGTGACCAGGCAGTGGGCCTCATCAGTATGAATTTGCCGTAGTGTTGATGGACTGGATTGGCAGTGACAGTGGCTTGTTGAACGAAGTCATTTCTAGTGATGAGTCGACCCTTCATTTGTGTGGTGTGGTACAGTGGCACTGTTGAAGCCACATACAGTTCCTGATCATGAATTGGATAGCCATGCATCGGATTTGTGGTGTACGCTTTTTTCCATGAGGTGATGAGTGCAAGCCACATCAATATGCTTGATTTATTGACTAATCTCTTCGCTCCCTTTCTGCCCCGAAAATAATGGCTGTGGGGATTCGTTGCGTTGACCACAGAACACCCTCTATCCGCTAAAGTTGGCACTAACTTTGCTGACAAATGGCGGTTGCTCAGTCTGTATAGTTTGCTTGCAGACTAAAACCACGGAGTTAGTTTTGTTTGTATGTACATTGGCAGGCATTGAAAGTTTTTGAGTTCTTTCAAGCTGTGCAAACCGTTCTGCGCTATCTCTTGTGCTTCATGTTTTAGGAATGTTTGTAATGTGGTGAAGACTTTATGTTCAATCTGTATATTGTTTTAACTTATTTTGTAAATCTTTTAATGTTCATTATTGAGCCAGGATAGCATAGTCAGTATAGTGACTGGCTATGGGCTGGATGACCGAGGGATCAGAGTTTGAGTCCTAGTAGGGTCACAGAATTTTCACGCCTCCATGTAGTCCAGACTAGGTCTAGGGTCCACCCAACCTCCTACCCAGTGGGTACCGGGGACTATTTCCCCTGGGGTAAAGTGGCAGGGGTTTGTAGCTCACCACTTACATCCAGCTAGTGCCGAGGTGAAGAAAATATGGATCTATATATCCACTCCCCCCTACATCTTTATAGTATAGTCCTTAATTAGTTAAGCACAGGGACAACTTTACCTTTACCTTTCTTACCTCTTTAGTGTTCATTATAAATGTAAAGCTTCTCCAAGTTTATGTTGTAATTTTATAAGAACCATGGCAACTCTTCTCTTGCAGCCACTGAGGCTAAGCAACGTAGATGAAAATGTTGCAAGAGAGATCGATGATGTTCTGCTGAAGGATTCAGAGAAGGAAGAATTTCTCAGGAGGGTAAGTGCCAGTATTATATAAGATTCATACTGTGGTACAGTAAACCCAAGCTAATCAGGTTACAATTAATCCAGATGTTGGATTATCCTGCTTGAAATGTGAAATATGGAAAATGAAAAATTCTTTTCACAGTTGGCTACCTACTTTAAGCAACACATGGAGTTTAGGACAGCAGATGAGTCACTTGTCTGTGCAGACATAACTTGAGACAGTTTCTTCAAACCTGTGTTATTACGTTCAAAAACAAGTACAGCTTTGGAGTCCTCTATCAAATAAATGTACTGTCATTGAATGGTTTTTAAATAATGCTCTACAGTGATGTTCTGTTATTTATTTTCATCAGCGCTATTTATATCATGAAATTTTCTATTTATTTGTGTTGTAAGTATTTTTGTCTTTTAGGGCTACCATTTGCTTCACTGATCTGGATTATCACTTTATCCAGATCAACCACCCCCGTTATTCCATAGTAGTGAGGGTTTATGACCTCATGTTGTGGTCTTGTATGTGGGTATAATGTTTTCATAAGAACATTCTGCCTCTGTCATCAGAAGACTGATGCAGTATGTTCCTCCAAAATGCGTGTAGCCACCAGCTAGAATATGTGATCAATTCACTTTGCTCTTTGTGTTCTCAGGGTTCTAATCTTCAGTGAACACTTTATATCAGGGGTTATCAAACCTGTAATGCCATGTGTGTCTGAAATAGTAGCATTATGTGTGTGAATGTGTGCACACACAACCCTCCCCCCTGCCCCACCCCACCCCGCATTCTCTGGTGGTTAGTGTAAAGTGCTGGTGTGCACATTGTTGCATGTCCTTATCGGATTGTACTGAGACCTCCGAAACCCAAATGGCTCTACAGACTCTGCTGCATCTGCAGTTAGCAATACAATTTTACTGTGTATTTTTGGCTGCAGCTGCATTTACTGAAGGTACTAACATTACATTATACTGGCTTGTCAGCGCAAAGTGGGTGTATTGTCACCACAGAATGGCACATGCTCAGGTTGCAGGTGCAGGAGATGGCCTCCACATATGGAAAGTAACCACAAATATATTGAATAAGCAGTCATGGACAGCAGACAGGGGTAATCCTCACTCTTGGCGGGTTGGGCATGGGACTAACAACTTCTCTCACCTTAAAAACAGGCTGTTTCAGAATGTTACACAGGGCCTTGGACTCGGTTGGATTCTTTGGAACAGCGTAAGCTGATGAAAATGGGGATGCCATTTTTGCATGAACTGTGTGGACTCTGTATAATGCAGGTTCACTGACAACACTTGAAAGAGAAATAGCAAAGTACATATAAGTTAGATTTAGCGGGATTGCAAGAAGTTAGATGGGACAGGAGTGGCACTGAACCAGCGGGTGGATATACATTCGTCTATGGAAATGGAAGTGAGAATCATGAATTACATAGAAGATTTTTTTAAAATAAGAGAACCATATCAACAATTAACAGGGTAGAGTTAATACCGAGAGGCCTCTGGTATGATGCCCAAACAGAGGATAAAACTGACGATACGATAGACAGCTTCTGTGAGGAATTAGAACTTGTATTTAGTAAATTCCTTAAGTGCCAAAAGAAGGTTTTGTTAGGAGATTTCAGTGCCAGAGTGGGTAGAGAAACCAACAATTGGGAGTGGGAGTTTATATGAAATTAATAATGATAATAGAGTTAAAGCAGTAAACTCTGTCACATCCAAAAATATAATTGTTGAGTATAGTGTTTCCCACATTGTAACATTAATGAATTTACTTGGACATCTCCAGATGGAAAGATGCACCATTAGATCAACCATATTTTGATACATGCGATGATGTCATCCAAGTGTTAGTTAGTTAGTTATTTAGAGAGGGTGGGTTTCCCCATGCACTGCGACCAGTTTGATCTATTGTGCTTCCCTCTATGATATTCTACCAGTCTCTATACCCTACCGATAAATGGTGCGTACCATCAGTCCCACCGAGCAAGCGAGTTCGGCCACTTGCTTAGCAGTGTCTATAATGCTTCCCCCATATATCAGAGGCCTTAGAGACTATTGTTGGGCGGGAAACGTCCTGGAATTTGGCTCAGTGATCCTCTTTGGGGATATGAGGTTCTTTTACATGCCGTAAAGTTACAACACGGGACACACAGCTTAAAGTCCCTCCCGGAGGACTTGTTCCCTGAATTTTTCCGCCCTTAAAAATTCGATGACCTCCGCCGGGTATTTGAACCCGTGTACCATGAGTAATGAGGTGGGAACGTTAGCTCTAGACTACGAAGGCCGCTTCATCCAAGTGTACTTGATATCTGATCTTTCGAGGGAGTGGATCATGACACTGACACAATCTGGTGGTGGCAAAAATTAGGGAGAGACTGGCAGTAACAAAACATGCATCCAAAAAATTTGGTATAGAGAAGTTCAGTTTCAGGAAACTGGACAGGGCAGAGGGTGAAGAACAGAAGCAGGTTCGCATCATTGGAAAACTTGACGTTAATAGAGCCTGTCAAAGTATTGCAGAAAATATCAAAATTTCAGTCAAGGAGAATCTTAGGTAATTATGAATTGAAGCAGCATAAGCCATGGTTCAGTCAAGGATGTTCAGTATTCTGAGATCAGATGAAACAAGCCGAATTTAGCCAAGTAAATGGGGATAGTCTGAACAATATGGGACATGAAGCCAACAGACATTTCAGGAACGAAAAGAGGGAATATCTGAAAGGTAAAACTAATGATCTTACAACACACTAAGAACAAGAACATGAGAGATTTATACAGAGGAGTGAATGAAATTAAGGAGGGTTACAAACCTAGAAGTAACTTAGTGTAGGATGAAAATGATGATCTACTTGGAGATTCCCACAGCATTTGGAACAGGTGGAAGAATCACATCTCTTATCTACTGAATGTAGATGTCAGGATGAGCCATTAGTACCTCAGCCTTGTCGTGTTCAGGTTGAAATTGCTACCACCCTGTTTGAAAAGTATGAGTTACCAGGCAGTAATCAGATTCTGGCAGAAATTATTCAAGCAGAAGGTGAAAAATTACATTCTGAGATCCATAAATTTGTTGATTCTATTAGGAATAAGGAAGGATTCCCTGAGTAGTGGAGAGAGTATATTGCTGTACAAATTTAAAAGAAGGGGAAAGAAACTGACAACATTATTTACCGAGGCATATCATTCTTATCAGCTTTATACAGAATTGTATTCAGTCCATATGTAGACGAAGTTGTAGGACATCATGATTTTGGGCTTCAACAACACAGACCAGCTACTGTAGAAAATATTATATTCGTGTCAACACAACATTGTTTCCTGGAGATGGCATTTACTGTCTAGGATGATGCGTTTCAGCATGTGTGTGGCATCTTCACATCTGGTTCTTAATTATAATTATCCTGTTATGTACATAGTAGGAGCACTATGTTACGAGCTGGAAGGTCGTGAGTTCAAGTCCCGATGAGGTCATTGGATATTTTTCATTTGACCTAATCCTTCCAACCGCACTAGGGCCCTGGGGTCGACTCAGCCTCTAACAGAAATGAGTACCAGGAATTAATTAAATAATTTTCCTGGGGAGTAAAGCGAGGCTGGCGTGTAAGGCTGACAACCTTACTGCCATTGTCTAGATAATGTGGCATCATCAACATCCCACAACGCTATAGGCCTTCATGTCCTGTTACAGGGATAGTTTTACTTTTTTACTTACTTGATGTGTAAGACATTGTTGTCTTTTTTTCCTTTAACTTCCAGTTGTCTTTTCCATTTATAATGCTACTAAGTCTGGAGAGAGAATGCACGTTTCCACCCAGGATGTTTGGTTTGTTCTATCATTGTTAACATCACACGTCACCAAATTGCTGTGCTACTAATGTGTACATTGTCTTTTCAACCAGCCATTTCTCCCTGTCCCTGCATCTCTGTTATGTCCTGTAGTCTGAAGGCTTTAGTTTTTAAGATTGCTTCAGTGGAATGAAACTTAATCACGCATATTTTTCAGATATTTTTCAAGGCCCGCGGTAAGGCGAAGGAAGAACTGAATGAACAGCTGGCAGACTTTCAACAGAAGAGGACCGCAGGGCTTGGGACAATCTTCGGACCCCCTGAGGCTCAGCTGGATGAAAGCATACATGACAAGAACAAGGAAATGAAAATTGTGGAAAATATTCTCATTCCTAAAATGGAAGGTTACCTGTAAGTAAGAGAGAAATGCACATAGCTGACTGATTGGGGTAGAGATGGCAGATTTCATGTCGATGATGAAGATGATTTCAGTGCTTTAAACCTTTATTACTAAAGAACGGATGTTTCATCTCCTGGTAGTGTGGTAAACCCTCGCTTAACCAGTTACAGCTAATCTGAGTGTCGCATAATTCGGAAGTCTTGAAAAGTCATTTTTACCCTCGACCAGACTCCAGAACTGCTCTGGGGCATCCCAGCCTGCTATCCAGTGGATACCGAGTGGTAAAGTTGTGGGGGGAGGGAAGCTGACCACTCATCTTCTTCTACTGCTGAGGATAAGAATGGTGGAGCTATACCTCCACTCCTTCAAGTGGCATCATGCATACAACTTTACGTTTTTACCTTTGTATTCTACTTTCTGTCGTATGAAAAAGTAAAAACAGATTTGTGAAATGACCTTGCTCCCCCCCCCAACCACCACCACCACCAGCTAACAGTGCTAGGAAACAGCTTGGTAAAAATGTTTCCATGGCAGTGTATAGAGATGCAACAATAGAAGAACTGTTGGATGAAGTTTTTTATGCTGGCTGTGTTGTATCGGATGTCAGTATGTAGTGAAAAGAAAGTAGCAATTAGTTTTTCCCAGTTTTTTTTATATCTGTTCCTGATTATAGGAATTTAAAGTCTTGTCACAATGCAGATTGATGGCTGTACATTAATTTGGGTAACAGTTTATCATCAGGGTGATTTTAAATCTGCTGGTACTTAGGGTTGGAGCCCCTATTTTAATTTGGGGTAGTTCTTTAGAATATTAGAAATGTGAATAGGGGATTTTAATCTTGTGATTATCACGAGCTTGGTAACCATATTGTAATACAAGGGTAAGTTGTCCTTGGTACTTAACTAATTAAGCACTACTCCATGAAGACATATGGAGGAATGGTGTATAGATCCACATATTCTTGACCTAAGCATTAGTTTGAGCTGAGTGGTTAGCTTCACGCCCTGGTCACTTTACTTTCAGGGAAAGAGCCCCTGACAGCTATTGGATAGGAGGAAGAAAACAGTGCTCCTTCCAGGACATCGATCTCTGACCCCCGTGGCAGTTCAGCTTGTAGCCAGTCACTGTTCTGACTGAGCTATCCTGGCTCCTTAGTAGAGGGTTAACAGTTTATTATCCTGGAATAGAGGATTTGAATTTTTGCAGTGTTACGGGGCTGGTGACCATATTTTACATCTAACTGAGTATGAAGGGTTTGGAACTGTTGGCCACTCAGAACATCTGTTCATATACACTTGTCACAGATGTGATATGTTGCTGTAATTTTAATGTTCATTGAGCAGTGGTGGCTAGCAGAATACAGTTCAACCACAATTGAAGATTTGTTGGGGGAAAATTTGACACCAAGATCACTGACTTGGGATCACTGGGGAACATTATGTAAGGGGTGCGACTTCGGGTTGTCACAGTGGGACAGCAGTATGTATATTGTGTAGTGTACTTTATTTGCGCTTCTACTGATGAATTGCACCTTTATTTCGAATAAAATTTCAGATTAAAGTAAGGGAGTGTTGTGAATTTTCTGTCAGTTATGTTTTCATTATGTTTCACTGGAATGTGGAGCCAAGTCAGTTGAATAATTCCTGACCTGTATTTATTTTTCCAGGGAAGATATAGAGAGAGACATTGTAGATGCCCGCCGCTTTACGACAGCAGCTGCTCTGGGCACAGTAATGGGTAAAGTGTTTGGTCTGCGCAGTCCACATTCCAATTCCTTGCTTGACCGGTGCCCCACATTTGTTTCCAAAGATAAATCCCTCAAGGCCAAACTTATCGGAAAAACGAGAAAGGTACCAGATACATTTGTATTTTATATATGTGTGTGTGTGTGTGTGTGTAAGTCGTACAGAAAGTAAAGTCCGTTTGGTAATTAAAAAGAATAAATGAATAAAATTCATGTGACAAATTTCTGTATTCCTGCATAATAGAAATCTTCCGCAAGTCTGTTGAACCAGTCTTTAACCGTCTTCTTCACTTCTTCATCACTGACCATGCGCATGCCACCCAAAACTGCTTGCGTGCAAACCAGTGAATATCACTTGGAGCCATGTCTGGAATGTAGGGAGGATGGAAGAAAAATGTCCTAGGAAAAGTCAGAAGTAGCGCACCTGTGTTAGTGGTTTTTACTTTCTGGATGACCCTCATGTATAGTGAGACTTTGATTCTGCATGTTTAGATCCCATGTTTTTGGAGGTTTTATGTGCTTCTTGTTTGGTTCCAGACAAGTGTCCAAAGGACAATGTTAAATTTTGATCAGATTGACGTTTACTCAGACTTCCCATAATTTGCACGTACACAGTGTGTCAAGGTTCTGTTGGGACTGTGTTCATTAAAACTACAAGACATGAATTATTTTCAAAATTTCACTCCTTTTATTCAAAATAGTCTCCTTCTGAATCAATATATAGCTGGAATTGATTGAAAAGTTTTTGAAAACTGTCACTGTACTCCTTTTGTGGAATCGCATTTAAAACTGTGGTACATTCCCTTTGGATGTCCCGGATGGTGTCGTGACAGTCTCCTTTCATCGCCAAATTAACTTTTGGGAACAACCAGAAATCTGCTGGAGCCAAATCTGGTGAATACGGAGGTATTCAGGTCTTTAAACAATTAGCATGGCATATAGGTTAGCGTATTTGCATGTTCATTGTTATTTTATTTGGCTGCCATTACTTCACGTTGCTTGCCACAGTGAATATATGAAGCAACCCACATCTTTTTTTGTGTGGTGTCGTCCTCATTTCCTTGGTTTCATTTTTATTTTTATGCACCCTATGTGCGTCTTATTTGGCAATACTGACAGTAACTGTGACTGCATACTGTCAAATGGCAGGACGTCTTGCAATCGGGACGGTTGGCAGAGAGGAGCCACATCATTTAAATGTTTTTTGTCATATTTCAAACTCATTTGAATCATGAGATCATAGCAGAGTTATATGAAATGGTGTGTTATTTATATCTATATTCCAGGGCAAGGTTGTTTAGTGGTGCTATTTTTTTTTATTCTTCTTAGTGAGAGACTGAGTCCACTTGGAACTGCGGCCACTGTTTGGCCTATTGTACCAGCCTCAGGTGATAGATGATGGTGATTGTGGAGCATTTGGTGGAATGAAGATTGTCAGGGAAAACTGAAGTGCTTGGAAAGAACCTGCCCCAGTTCCACTTTGTCCACCACAAATCCCACATTACCTGACTCGGGCTCAAACCCAGGCCGCCACAGTGGGAAACCAGTGACTATCCACCTCAGCTTTGGCGCAGCCTTGTGTTGTGTTATATAGCAGGAATGAATGATGAATGAACTGCTCCAGTTATGTTAATCTGCGAATTGTATGAGGCACGCTGTGATAGGAACCCTTTACTCTTTTCTGATCTTTTGCGTGTTTCAGTTTTCAGTTGAAAAACCAACACAGTATGCATTTGCTTTATTCTTCCATGGCTCTTATGGGATATGGTAGATTCATGGGTGAACGATTCTGATATACTGTAACATGATCATGGATGTTAACTAACCTGTAGTTTTGTCGTTGGTTGAGGCACTACGCTGCAAGCTGGAAGGTCGCGGGATTGTTCAATTGAAGTAATCCTTCCAGCTGCACTATGGCTCTGGGGTTGATGCAGCATATAATATAAACGAGTACCAGGAATTTTCCTGGGGGTAAAGGGCTGCCGACACATGAGGCTGACAACCTCACAGCCATCTGTGATCTGATTGTCAGGAAAATGTGGGAGCCTCGATGTCTCACAACCCTATGGGCCTCCACAACCTACTACATGGATAGCGTTACTTTACAGTAATCGTGGTCAGTACAACTCCAATGGCACCTACATGTTGAGGGGGATGACATAGTGGCCACTGTGAGAACTACCGTGTGACATTTTCTTTTTGAAGTAACTTTATGAAGAAAGCAGTCTTCTGGGATTTGGCACCGTGTATATGTGGTGTTAACACCACATATACACGGTGCCAAATCCCAGAAGACTGCTTTCTTCATAGTCACCGCCGTGAAAGCCTCAAATCTTACATAACTTTATGAAGATGGAAAATCCTCTTCTAAACTTTTGCCTTGTTGCTTGGATTCTGGATAGCTCAGAGTTTACTGTAGTATACTGTAGCTCATAGGATGATTCATGTCAGGTTCCTCTGTGTTGTACTGCAGACCTAGCAGAGAATACCATAAGGTATTTTGAAATTTACTTTGTACTTTGCCTGCGTGGTCCAGTGGTAACATGCTTGCCATTGGTCCCAAGGTTCACAGGTTCAAACCTAGCCAAGGGTATTTCAGGGTGATAAAAATGCATAGCACAATTTTCTTCTGAAGGGATGTAAAACTAGGGGTCTAGTGTCATGCATTTGTGGTACATAAAAGAACATTTCATTCATGGTAAGAGACAACTGAAGACAAAATTAGGCACCATTTTGGTTGCCCACATAGCTCCCTACCCTGCTCCTAGATGTCACTGCAGATGACTGTGGAGACTTCTGCAGACAGGAATGTGTACGATTTGAAGAATCACCTTCCCTTGCTGAAATACGGTAGATAACTGGACAATGTAACCCATCCAAATGCTGTGTGAACAGAAAATGAGTTACAGGTACACCGGTCAGTTGAGGTTCAGAGCACAGATGACTTAATTGTTGAAGAAAACAATCAACCACTCCTTACCCTGTTGCAGCATTGTGTGATTGACAAGTAGAGTGTCTGATCATGTTATGAATCCTTATTCATGACCAATTTTTTAATTTCTTGAGCAAACTCTGATTTATTAATTTTGATGATGTTCCTTTAAATTTTTTGGTTGCTGTACATTGTGATATTGACGAGGAACATCTGTGTCTGGGGGGAGAGCAGGTAATTCTGTGGTTAATAATGTTTCATTTCATTTCAGGTTGAGTCAAAATATGCAGATATAGCGGATGTCTCTTTGGTCCCACTCTGTGTTTTGTGGAAGAAAATGTATTGGTAGAATGTCGTGTTGTTGATTGTACCGTAATGAAGAACATCTTATAATTTCAGGTGACTGTACGTGGCCATCACTTCGTTGCACATCAGTATTATACAGTCACGTATTGTAACCACTGTCAGCTGATAATCTGGGGCATCGGTCCGCAGGGATACCAGTGCTCAGGTGTGTAGCTTCTTGCAATATAATCCTCTGTTGCATGCACTCTGGATCTCCATTTAAGTGATCCCAAATCAATAATCTCACTAATAAATTGTCCCTATTTAGGATTGTCCTGAATTTAAGTGTTCAAGTCAATTGATCTTCCAGTAAATATTAAAGGATTTGCTGTTCTTACAGTAGGGACTAGTGAGATGACCGTTGCGCTCTACTGTCATTCAGGAGGTCTTGGCACAAATCGTGGCTGGAAAACTGGCTGTTATGACTTAAGATTTTTGTGATTTTCCTCAGTCAGGCCCTTCAGGCAAATTCTGGGATAGTACCTAAAATATGCCATGAATGCATCTTTCAGAATTCTTTCCAGTTAATTTATCAATCTACCATTCACTGCTCTAAACGCTTTGATGGCATAGTCCCCCATTAGTTAAGCACAGGGCACAGCTGTGCTTACTTTACCATTCAGTACTGAATGCTCTGTGTACTGACATTTTTGTAAAATAACTCCTTCCACCAAATGATAGAGAGGCTGTGTGGCCAGACAGGGCTGAAATCCTGATTCACTTGTTCATGTTGCAGTGAAATCCATATTTAATGATTTGGGGGGAGGGGATTCCAATCAGTATGTTATTTTCCCATGTCTGGTGAAGTTCAGTTTAGTCAGTAAGATGCATTTTTTTTCCCCCTTAGCACTACAGCCCCAGTGGGCCTAGGCCTATCTCCATGAACTTCTCTGTTCACTTCGGTTTTTTGAGATCTTACACATACGGTAGAACTCCTTGGGCGAGTGATCAGCTCGTTGCAAGGTCTCTACCTGTAGACAAACACAGAAAAACGCACACAAACATCCATGACCTGAGTGGGATTCGAACCCACGAGTAAGATGCATTTAGTGTAGGAAATTCTTGGCCTTCCAGACTTGTCTTTCATTTAAGGGTGACTTAATGAACCAGTTAATTGATATTCATGTTTTCCCACTGCCAGAAATTGTTACCACACAGACGAACTGCTTGACGAGTGATGTCTCCTACCAAACACTACCCGTAGTTGCTTTGATCCTTAACTGAGCTCCTTTGTGCTTCTTTCATATCATGAATTATCATAAAAATTTATTTATGTTATTGTATTTATTTATGTAGAAACAGTTTCTTTAGCTGCTCATGTAAATGAAGTATTTTATTGTAATTGTGTACAGTAAGTTATGTAAGGTCACAGTCTTGATATAATTTTGCATAACTTCCATTAATTTAGTGGAAGCAAAAGCCATTCCTACAGAGGTTTATTAAATGACCATTTCATTACCCTAAAACTCTTTAATTGTAGATTCCATTACCCTTAGTTTTGACACCATCGAAAAACTTAGATCTGGGGATCTGGGAGGCCACAGTCCCCTGCTGATTATTCTGTCTTCAAACACTTCCACATTGCGACCATGGTTGCATTAGCCATATGTGCTGTAGCATTGTCTTGCTCAAAATACCCATATTGTCTTTCTTCAGCAGTCAGCTGACTGAAGAACAGAGTTAGTATATCATTAAGGTAGCGGTCAGAGTTCATAGTTTCATATAAAAATAAGGGACCAATGCTTCACTGCGGACTTACAGCACACCACACTCCCACTTTTTCACTATGTAATGGCACTTGCTGTATAGCATGAGGATTTTCATCGCTTTGTATTCTTACATTTTGTGCATTGACATGGGCACTAACGTGAAACCACTCCTCATCAGTCATGAGCAGAAGCTGTGGATCCACGATTCCATCGTGCGCGTTTTGCTGCAGCCGGTTGCAAAAAGGAATTCTTGCTGCATAATCTGGTTATTTCAGCTCATGCACAACTGTTATTTTATATGGGCCAAATTAGATTAATTTTGTGGCTGTGAAAGCAGATCCTAGTGAAACACCGGTTTCCTGTGCTAAGCGTAACGGTTTTTGAGGACTGATCCGTAGACGTGCCTCAATATCATGAACCTTTTTTCAGTCAACACAATCCTCTTTTGATTGCTTCTTTATGTCTTATGCTTTATGTCACATGCTTGGATACACACGACTTTGTGGGAACTAGCGAATCAGGATATTTATGACAACATTTATGGATACATTTTCTGTAATTTTTTTTGTTGCAAAAGTTTCGACAATAGACACGCTGTTCAATAGTGAACTTCATTTCAGTATAAATGTCGACCGCCTAGCGACACCTCTAACACAGACTGACTATTAATGCAACTGACTGCAGTGACAAGGTCAGACCACCTGAAGGCGTGCATTTATCAGCGCTAATGACACGTTCCGCTATCAGCAGTTACAGCAGCAATCTGTGAGGAATGTTGTGTCTGCTCTACACTGCTGCCAGGTTTCCTTGATCATTGAACACTTTGTATTACTAGCATTTGAGGGGAACATGCCTATCTCATGTTTGTTGAGCAAGCATATCTACTGATTAACAAGTATCAAGGTTCCACAAAAAAAATCTAAGCCCTTATTCAAAATTGAAATACAAAGCATTTCTGATGAATGTGGCAAAGGCCTGGGCTACAGTCCAGATGGTGGCGGCAGAACCAGGGTCACACAAAGACTTAGTACAACCGGGCCCATCAACTCCCACCCCATGAAGGCCTCATGTGGACCCCCCAGGGCGACTCTTGAGTGATATGCGGAAAAATACCCTCGTGAAAATTTTGAAGAGTGAACATTCCAAGGGGAAGAATACTTCTAGGCTGTGCTGTGTTTGCACAGTTCACAAAAAAAGGAGTGTGTCTACATTTGCAAGTTCTGTGTAATGCCACTTCACAAAGGGGAAAGTTTTAAGAAATATCACACCCTCAAGCACTTCTAGGAGCATTGGTAAGTGTTCTCCAAAAATTTCAGTTCAAAAAATTTATTAGGAGATTTTATATTAATTTTTAAAGTGAACAGTGCACAAGTTAGGGTAGTATGTTTAAAAATGCTGGTCCCCAGGGTGATTTAAATATTTAAATCACCGGTCCGTGAAGTGTTAAGTGTTCGTTTGGTGGCCATATTTTGTCACTGCTGGTATATAGAATCTCTTGTGTGGTTGGCTGTGAGTTCAACTGTACTGCTATGTGTTGGGAATGTGGGAAATCCCCCATCCCCTGTGTTTCTGAGTCCATGTTAAGCTGTGGGCTCCCTCTGCTGCCATCATCATTGTGGTCATGTGATGTGTGAGTGCCCCATCTTAGAACTGGATTCTTTGCCACTGTATAGATGAGCAGAAGACAGAGAGGTCAATACAGGCCATCTCTGGAGGCACTAGACAAACATGTTGAGGAGAACTATCTTTTGGGTTGTCATCATCAGGTACAAAGAGTTAGTAACCAAACAACCAGTACAGAGAGACACACAGAAGGGAGTTAATACAGTCCACAAAAACTCTGGTAAACCTCTACCGGAATACACGGTTTCACATACCAGAAGATAATGCTGTGGGGACTCCAGATCAGACACACACATTGCCTCGTTGGGTTAGAATATGAAGCCTGTTTCTTATATTCTCTTTGCAGATTGTGCTTTAAATATCCATCGTCACTGTGTGAGGGTCGTGGAAGAGAACTGCCCAGGTCCTCTGACAAAGAAGGAGAAGGGCAATGATCGGATAAGTAAATTGATGGAGAAGATCCGGCCTGAGCGAGAAGCAAGGAGGAAGCCAAGTTCTCATAACTTCACTCAGAGTATGTACTGTGTTCATGTTAATTGCAACCATGAAATATTGATGATGTGTTCATGTAAACTGCCGTATTTACCAGAATGGAAGACAACTCCAAATCTATGGTAATCCGTCCCCTACTAGGAATCGTCTATGCGAGAAATACAATTTTATTACCATTTTCCCAGTTCATACTTTCATTCCATAGTGTCTGTTGTACTTTGGGCTAACTTGTTGATGCATATGCCTCCTGTGTGTCTCATGGGGCACGCTGACAGTGTGATAAGGCATACAGATATTAACATGCAGGATCATGAAACATCCTGTATATCATAACTTTGGGAGGTGACTCCTGAGGTCGTTCTGAGCAAAACGTTTTGCGTCCATAAGGGTATAGTTCTCAACACATACAGAGCTATGGGTAAAGAAAATTAAGTCAATTTGCATACAGCAAAGATGTTTGTTGTATTGACACTTAATGCTTGCACACAATTTTGTGTGCTGTTGACTTCACTGTAGCAGGAAATATTCAGTGCCATACAGTGCAGTTTGTTGTCACTGAGCTGTCTATGAGGGTGTATAGAATTGGCTGCCATGATTGCCAGACCTCAGCCTCCTTGACTTCCATGTGTGGGGACATGAAAGATTTGTTTGTGAATGCTAGATGGACATACACGTGCAGCCATTAAGTGTCATTTCTGTTAAAATAAACATTCGTCATATTTGATACCTCTTAACTCTCCTTATCGACAGCTCTGTGACCACTGAGAATAGAACCTTGTTGGTATAACATTTGTCAGTCAGAATGACTGAAGTTAGGACATGAAACATTGATGCTGATATAGGCATCTGATGCTTAGGTGAAAAGTGGCCCTTCTTCTTTTAACTCTGTAAACAGGGAAAGAATGCCTGTTAGTGGCAAGAGATTTTTCTGTTCTCTGCATGGCCTTGGCCAGTTCTGTGGTTCATGCAGCCTCCTATTGATGGATCAATACCCCCACTTCCACATATGTCTTCATGGGGTGATAATTAAGCACAGGGACAACTTTGCCTTTGCCTAAACAGGGAAAGGGTCTTGTCTTCCATTTGGTTAAGTGCGGTATACAGTATATGTCATGTCATGAACTTCTGTTCTGGCTGGAGTTGAACTAATACCATTTGTTAAAATCAGTTCTGTTTTCTTTCACACGCTGCACTTCTAGATGGAGGGTTTCAAGTTTTGCCATCCATGCCATCAATAGGACCCATGATAGGTATGTCCATGCCTAGCCTCCTTAAACACGTTTCTTGTGTGCATTGCATAGTGGTACTTTCAGTGTAGGGATTGTTGTGTCAAGTGGTAGGATGGTGGATGAATTGGAAGGGATTTGGAAGGAAGTGGTTATGACATAATTGAAGATCTTGATGTTTTCCTCGAGGCACTGAAGAAAACCACAGAAATCATCAGTGAGTGGAGCCTGTGTCCCACTTGAGATGTGAACCATGCGTCTAGAGCACTATGTCTAGACACCCTGGTACTGTGTATCATGATATTGTGACATGTTGACCCCTACCTCCCCAGCTGCACGTAGCGGTAACGTAGCGCTCGCGTAATAGGCGAGTAATCACCCCGCAACTCTCCCCGCGGTGACGTCACGAGCACTGCCGAGCGAAGCCGAGTGAGCCGAAGTTAGCCGAGTCCTAGCATCCTGGTTGCTATGCAAAGCGAGTCAACAGCGATGACCTCACCAAGGGCAGCACGGGTAAACAGGATTGCGAGAGACGACGGTGGTAACAGCGGTTACTACCGCTAGCGTTACTAGCAACATAGCGCCAGGCAACAAGGGTGCTTATTACGTGGCCGTTTTCTGTATTGTCCGATCGAGGCTACATGAGGCGCAGCGAAGGCTATTCACAGTTAGTCCTGGAGCTACCTACGAGTCAGTCCTCGAGCTACCTCCGAGTTAGTTCCTAGTTAGCCAGCAACCAGTCAGTTGTATTCTGGCATTTGGAGTGTACTATTTGTGATACTGCAGATAGCAGTAATCGTAAATCTGTAATTTGGGTGATTGTAAGTGCGAATGTGAAATAAAATTCGCTACATCAAATACATCATGAAGTTATTTGTCGCGTTATACCCCGAATACGCGACAATATTTTAAAACTGGGAAAGTTGGCTCAGTTGCTAAGGCTTGTGGCTTGTTTTCAGAACAAACTGAGTTTGAATCTCAGGTGGTATGTCATTGTGATTGAGAGCACTTCTAGTTTTCTCGATCCCTTTGAGTAAGTGTAGCGATGGTACCCCAAATTATGCAGTGGCTGCTTCCTGTCACGTCTTGTCTAACTGATCATTCAGTCATTTTATGCCATGTAGTTTTGTCCTTCTGGCAGTGCTTTAAGCAAACTGTTAATTAAGAATTAGTGAAGAAAGTCGTCTTCATAGTAATCGCCGTGAAAACCTCAAAACTTACAAGAATTAGTGACTTTGTATCACGTTTCTTAGGTGTGATACTGGTTGAGGTACAGAGCTCTGAAGTTGGCTGTTGTTTGACTGTCTTTTGGGTTTTAAGCATATCAGATGCTGCAGCTCTTTCAGCACTTAAGCATGCATTGCTACCCACAAACGCTAAATGCTGTGTGTGCCGAGACGTTGGAATAGCTTCAGCATGCCATCTGACTCAGCACGGAAGTGTGAAGTTCAGCAGTAGACACAGGCTGCAAGACGATCAGTCTGTCAGACCACATGTAGGTTTAACCCTTTCCACGTCATGTTTTTGGGCTTCTATGTAGCATCAAATGGCAGGATGATTGGTGAGTTGGGATGGATTTGGATGGAAGCGGTTGTGTCCTAATGAAGATAATGTCATGGCATTTCCCTTGAGAGGCAGAAAAATCATGAGGAACCTCACTCAGGATGACCAGTGTTCTGTCAAAGATTTGAAACTGTATTTCTCCTGAAAGTAAGCCTAGTTCATTACTTTTTCACCAGCCTGCTTGGTCCAGTGCTACATTAAACTGATCTTTACTCCCTGACATCTCCTGTAAATGTCATCTCTGATTGGACTACATACTAGCACAATTGAAGTAAGAACTTGGAAACTTGGAAAAGATTTGATATGTATATTTGTTCTGACCAAGCAGCCGGTCACATCTCAGAGACAATGCTAGTCATCACTGAGTTTAATTCTCTTAATGAACTTAACAATTGGTCTGTGAGTTACAGAGTTGTGTGGTTTTGTGGATGGTTAAAAGAGGCCTGGATCTGTAAAAATCTCCATTTGATGTTCCTTAATGTTCAGTTTCAATGATCCAAAGTCAGTAATCTCAGTGGTAATTTCCCTTCATTTAAAATTTTCCTCAGTTCAGTATTCAGATCCACTACTCCCGAAAGAAAGCTGAAATGGACAGTATCCGGTATCCCTTGAACGATTTGTTGCCCTCATACTGTTCAGTCTAATGCTGGTTTTGCTTTTTTGTCATTTTAGTTGACCGGGCCAAGAAACAGTCAGAAGACGAGTGTGGGGGTCTTACAGACAACGAGAGTGGTTCAGGTGAGTACACTGATCAGCTGTATGTAGTCTGGTATTTGAAATATTGAAATCAGAAGAAAAATTATATTTTATTAATATTGTCAAAGATATTTTGGAATAGCTGTTGCTATGCAGTGATCGTGAGATAGGCACGTATACCAGAGCCAATTCTAGGCAACAGAGTCTTAATAATGTAACAGTTGGACTACAACAATGGAAGTGGAGTGTTTTCTATGTGGTCCATGCTAAGATATTATAAGCAGGGCACTCGTAAAGTAATGTGGTCTTGGACTTTGAGGGTCAGGTTGCTGGATATCTGCTGCACAGTCTGATGTGAGCACAGAAGCTGAAGAATCTGCACTGTTAAGAAGCCGTTGCTATGAAACTTCTAGTGAAGACTTAGCGGCTGCTGCAGTTATTTGCAGTGTTGCAGAGATTAGCGATGGCACTGTAATTACTTGTAGTTCTGAGTTCTGTGTATACGAGGGGGTACCCAAAAGAAACCGAACTTATTTTTTTTTAAACTTATTTATTCAAATTTTAAGCACAATTCTTCAATCCCCTTCAAAGTACTCTCTACTTACACTAATACACTTGTCTAGTCTTTTATTCCATTTTTCAAAACATTGTCTAAATTCATCTTTTGAGATGCTTGACAGCGCCTCTGTCGTTTTTTCCTTTCATGTCTCTTTTCATTCGAGGAAACAAAAAAAAGTTGCACGGGGCAAGGACGGGTGAGTGTGGAGGGTGAGGAACAGGGGTCATACCATTTTTGGTCAAGAATTGTCATACAGACAGGGCTGTGTGAGCAGGGGCATTGTCATGATGGAAAAACCAGTCACCCAACTGCCACAAATGTGGCCGCTAAGCTCCAAGTCACTCCCGACAGCTCCACAATTTCTTCAGTGGTCCATCATCAATCTGCCTTGATGATTTCACGAATTTTTTCAACATTTTCATGTGTTCGGGCCGTGGAAGGACAACCAGAACGAGGTTTGTCATCAATTGACATTTCACCATTTTTGAAACGGGAAAACCACTCAAACACTTGAGTTTTCCCCATAGCATCGTCCTTATACGCCGTTTTTAACATTTCAAGAGTTTCTGTTCCACTTTTCCCCAGCAAAGAGCAGAATTTCACCACCGCACACTGTTCACGAAAATCAGTCATTGCAAAAACGACGATCACACAAAACAGTTGTCACTATAAACTCTGCTGAAACTAGTCGTTACCTTCTGAAGCAACGGTAGTTGGCTTATCGACTCAGGAATGTTAGCTCTATACGCTCATAGCGGCAAAACGCGGTATTACAAAAGCTCTACCCACAAAAAAATTAGTTCGGTTTCTTTTGGGTACCCCATCATAAGTGGTCAGTAAATCCATTCACCAATCCGAACCTCATCCATAGTCATACATATATATGCAATAACTCTGAGGTACATCAGACCTAGTGCAGGCGACCTTAAGGAAGAAAAGTAATATATGCTAAATAGAATCTCAGTTTGGCAGTGACGCGATAGGAGGTTGGAGGAAACTGCATAATGAGGAGCTTCGTAACTTGTTCTCTTCTCCAAGTATAATTAGAATTATCAAGTCAATGAAGATGAGTTGGGCAGGGTATGTAGCATGAATGGGGAGACGAGGAATGCATATAGGATATTGGTGGGAAAACCAGAAGGAAAGATAACACTAGCAAGACCAATATGTAGGTGGCTGGGTAATATTAAAATGGGTCTTAGAGGGATAGGATGATGTGATATGGACTGGATTGATCTGGCTCAGGATAGGAAGCAGTGAAGGTCTCTTGCGAGCACGGTAATAACCTTCAGGTTCCATAAAACATTGGGAAGTACTTCAGCAGCTTAGCAACTGGTGGCTTCCCAAGAACTCAGGTCCACAGTGGTCGGTAGTCTGTTAGTAGTCATTATTTAATGACATCTAGTACAGACAAAAGCTAAGCAAAAAATTAAACGTGAGAAGTTGAGAGAATTCTATGCCCACTCCCTCCCCCAAGAGAGATTGGTAGCAGACTGCAGTTACTTGGTTTCAATGGCAGATCGCCTCGTACTGGCTCATGAAACACTGCTCTTCTGTCGAAGCATAGTTTGAGAAGCAGAGGTTTTTTTTTCAATAATGCAATGTCCTTTCTTATGCATGGTGGAATGCAAAAATCCATCTGCATCTCGGGTTGCCTGTTTGCGGGGGACTTTGGAACTTCCCTGCGTGACGCATGGGATGTGTCTTCATTCTCACCATGCTGAAGTATTTGACCACAGTTCCACCAGTTAGGATCATGAATGCAAAAATGTTCAGATTTTGTGTTCTGCCATGTTGAGCTATTTTTTATATTATATAGGCCCAAATTACCTGCATAAAATAAATTCTGAGGCCAAAGAATAAATTGAGAAACATTTGTACATTTGCTCTCAAATCAATATTCCGTTTCGGTCTTCCTTTCACAGCTGATGAGCTGATCAATTTGAGAAGGCCCTCCCACAGTCAGTAAAGGGTACCAATTGCTTAAGAAGTTGCTTAACTTTCTGAGATTTATTGTGTCTCCAACATGAAGCTCGTTGAAATGTACCTGGGAAATTTCTGAAAACAAACTTACCATGTAGTGTCTAGCCTCAGTTACGTAAGTGTAATAGTACTCAGTAAGTATTGATGTTATCCAGAGGGCCTTTTTTTTTTGGTACAGGTTGTCTATAAAAACAAACTACTGTGAATTTGTTTTACATCTGAATAACACGATGTACTAACATTGGCACACTTGCAGAAGTTTGTAGTTGTGTGAGCTTAATTAGATCCATGCCATGAAGATGTATGGGGGGGGATATATGTTCATGCATTCTTAACATCAGCACGAGATAGGTGTCAGAGTTCTCAGCTTCACCACCATTTGTTTAGCCGCTGGCAGAAGGACCTCTGGTGCTAATTGTATAGCAGGCTAGATGAACCCCAGACCCAATCTGGACACTATGAAGAAGGGATGATAACTCTGCTTGTGCCATGAATTTAATCCGTGATTCCTCTGTTGTCCAGTCAAGAAAACTGAGATTAACGGCTGTGGGGATCCATTTTGCTGACCACGTGACACCCTCTATCCACAAAAGTTGGCACGGACTTCACTGACAAGTGGCGGTTGTTCAGTTGGTATAGTTTGCTTGCGGATTACAGACCACGGAGTTTTTTTTTTCTCCGTCTGTTGTACAGCTGGTAGCTTAGTCATAACACTGACTGAGCTATCCAGGCAGACTGTAACACATACTGGAAAGCAACTTGGAGTGATAGAGAATTTATAGTTTTACTTCCTGAGACCATGAAGAGTGACAGGAAAGTTTTTCATTACAAGGTCTGTGAACTGACAAGCACTTTGCGTCCTAGCTTCATTTTGTCCCAGGTTAAGGATTTATTGCTCAATAGATCTTCTGTGACTGTTATTGGCAATTGCACTGTCATTTTACTTCACTGCTAGTGACTGCGTTCTATTACCTTGCAATAATGGGGTTGCTTATAGTCTTATTTTTGTGGTTCAAGAAAATGAAACATTGTGTTGTAATTGCGTGTTATTTTGTTGTTGCTTTCACTAGCAGGCTAAACATTGTGTAGGATTTGAGGCTGTCAAGGTTTGTAATGCCCTCTGGTTTCAAGAGAGCCTGACAGTCTGAAGGAACGGTTTCAAGGTGGGAGCAGAGCAAGTAATCAGCACAAGTGAAAGACTGTACTCGTCAAACAATTTTTATCATTTACAATATTCTTTTGGACAATGTGAAACCACAGTGTTTTGGAAATTGGGCCTGTTTTGATTCTCTATCACTGGAACTGTTATTTGAAACATATTGTCACAATTTATGTATGTGATTATAGATGGGGTTTGGGTTGATGAATGCATTTATTGACCATTTATAAACACGACTTGGAACTACAAGCAATTAAGAGCGTCATTTCTAATCTCCTCTGTTCACAAATGACCCCAGTGCCTGCTAAACCTTTTCCAGCCTGTTGTGTCTTCACCATCCATTCCCAGGCAACGGCTTCGAACATTGGAGATTCTTCAGCTTCATGTGCACAGGACCTCTTATCACAGCTGCCCATGCACAGTTGCTGTCAGCTCTCAACTATAGTGCCATCTTTTCTCAGCCTCCCTTGCAAAATTCAGATGAAGTGCTAACCCTCAACTATGAACTGACTCGTTGTCAAAGTCACATTGCCACTGACGGTCAATAAGTCAGTCAGTCAGTCTTGGTGGTGAGCTCAACCTAGGGCTTATGACCAGATATTTTTTACTGTTTTTTACAGTTACGGTCTTGTTATTGTGTTGCGCCCTCTCTGACGAGAGGATAAGTCTTGTCTTTTGTTAGGGTCACTGTGTACAGTAGTAAGTCATTTGTCATAATGTAAACGATATTTACATTTTACATATTAAACGTATATAAAATATATACAGGGCCTCTGTCAGTCCAGGTTCAGCACAGCAGTTTATGCCCTATTTCTAGTAGCTTCTGCTACAATGGCAGTCTAGTCACTCGACGGTCGTATGCTTGACTGCCGCCAGGTTTAAGCCTCTTATACTTTCTATGTCGGGCTTCGCCTTGACCAGTATTGTGAACATTTTCGTTATGATTTTGTATGACTTCTGCTTTTTGCCTGCATAATTTTGTTATCTAATTATATATGTATGGAATTTGTACCGACCAGTTATCTCAGTTCTCTTCTTTATAACAGTTTCTCACAGACCGAAAACACCATTTTCAACAACAACTGTTGTTTAGAAATGGGTAGCATAACACCGTTGTTCTATTATGTATGTTGCTGTCGTTTACAGTCGCTGTTTACAGAGTCGCCACAATATTAAATGACAAAGTTGAGAAGATTACTAGTAATCAGTTTGTTAGATTATCATTAAAAGATCTTCAGAGTTCTGATATCCCTCGATTGTCCCATAGCTCCACGCTGTGCAGAAAGAAAATGTTGACAGGAGTGTATCCGAGAAAATATAAGAGAGTCACATGATAGAGTG